ATTGGATTATGTCTTTTTATATTGAGGCTGTTCTTTTTGTATTCTGAATTCAACTCTTAGCTATATGACTGGTAAATTTTCTCCCATTCTTTGGGTTGTCTCTTCACTTCCTTAATGATGTCCTCTAAAGTATAAGTTTTAAATTTTGATGAAGTCCAGTTTTGTTTTATGTTATGCTTTTGGTGTCATGTCTAAGAATTCTTTGCTGAATTGAAGGTCATGATGATTTACTACTATATTTCCTTTTCATAGTTTCAACTCTAAAGTTGGGTCTTTGGCCCACTTTTGTTTTTTGTTTGTTTTTTGTACTTTGTACAAAGTATGAGTCCAAGTTAATTTTTTTTCATGTGACTATCTAGTTTTCCTAAGCACCATTTCTTACCAATGTTATTTTTCTGTCCATTTTGACAGCCTGAAAGAAAATCTGTTGACCACAGATGTCTGGGTTTATTTCTGGACTCTGAGTTGCATTACATCATATGTCTGTCATTTGGCTAGAACCACACTGGATCACTGTTGGTTTGTACTATGTTGTGAAGTGTGACTCTTAATTTTTTTGTTCTTTTTTAAGATAGGTTTGCCTATTCTAAGTGCCTTGCAATGCCATATGAATTTTAGATCAGTTTGTCAAGTCCTACAAAGAACCCAGAAGTATCTTTTGTACAATCTGACAGAGATTGTACTAAATCTGTATTTCAATTTGAGGAGTATTACCATTTTAACAATGCTAAGTCTTCCAATCTGTGATAATGGGATGTCTTACCAATTTTTATGTTTTCTTCAGTTTCAACAATTTTTTTTTTTTTTTAGTGTTTAGAGTATATGGTTAAATTTATTCATAAGTATTCTTTTTGATGCTATTAGAAATGGAATTGTTTTTAATTTTTAGGTTTTTGAATGTTGGTCTTGTATCCTATAGCCTTGCTGAATTCATTTACAAGTTTTTTTTAATGGATTCCTTAGGATTTTCTATATGCAAGAGCATGTCATCTTCAAATAGAGATTATTTTCCTTCCTTTCCCATCCAGATGCCTCATTTCTTTTTCTTGCCTAGTTGCCCTGGTATAACCTCTGATACAGTATTGAGTAGAGGTTTCGATAATAGAAATCCCTGTCTTAGGCTTGATCTTTGGGGGTAACACTGAGTCTTAACCATTAGGTATGATGATTTAATTTTGGGTTTTTCCACATATAACCTTTATCAGATTGGGGAATTTTAATTATATTCCTAATTTGTTGAGTGTGCTTATGAAACGGTGTTGGATATTGTCAAATATATTTCCTGCATCGGAATTTAGAAAACCTAAATAAGGGATCAGGAAAAAGACTAATTATAATAAAGTGAAAATCAAGATAAACAGGCAGCTATAAACCAGAGACACACTATGGGGGGGTGGGGAGAAGGGAGTAGGATCAAAACAAGGGTGGGGGTGGGAATTGTATGGAGACAATAACCTAGATGAAAATGCATACATTGTACAAAAATGAAAAATCTGTAAAAAATATAGAAAATTAAAAATATACGTATATTTCCTGCATCTATAGAGATGTGATTTTTGGTTTTTTATTATGTTGATATACTACATTAAAGCATTTTATTTTTTTTGAATGGGGACTTAGAGCCATGTTTAAGTTAATTAAGTAGCTAACAAATAAATAAAATGAAGACCAAAATATGACAGGAATATTCACCATGGCATTATTAATTAAAGGAAAACCTTGGGAACAATCTAAATATTCAACAATATGTGATTGGCTGATTAAATTATGGTATTAGCATGTGATGTTCTGCATCCATTTAGAAAGCCGAAAACAAATCTAACTTTATAGATGTGAAAGGTGTCTACAGTGTGTCACAAAATGAAAGGATCAGTTTACAAAACACTATAAAATGTGATTCTTTAAACAAAACTACAAGCATGCATATGCATATATAAAAATATATATGATGAGATGACTGGAAGTTCACAAAAGATTAGCAATGCTGGGCCTCTCTGGTATAAAGCATTACTTTAATGTGTACCCCAAAATTGTTTTAATCAGATACAATAAGGTGACATATCTGCCTTATAACCCCCAAGAGAAGGGAACATGGGCCTCCCCTGGAGGCACAGCTGTTGAGCCTGGGCTGCGAAGCTGCCTGCAGACTCTGCAGCGCGGGCCACCGGCGAGGGTCCCACATGGTGCGCAGACCTCTCCTGTTGCGCCCGCTGCTCCCCTCAGCAGTGTACTTCATCAGTTTGCCTGTTCTGTTCCCTCTCTGTCTCTGGTGAATTCTCTCACCCTCCCACGCTTCTGACTGTACCCAGTGATTGTATAAATAAATAAATATTTTAAAAAAAGAGAGAGAAGGGAACATGTCACACACCAGCCACCGGGGCAGGTGTCAAGATCAGTCAGAAGATAGCAAGAAATTCATGATCCACAGCCTTATATTCTCAGAAAGGAGTGGCCAAGGCATGGTAGACAAGTTTGAGCAATCTTAGGGTTGGATAAGGAGTAATTTCAGTGGATTCTGCACTATAGGGATAGTTTCTGGTTACCAGGTATGTTGGGGGTGATTTAGGGAGGGGAAATAATTGGCTTTGTGTGACAGTAAAGGAGGTGTTTGAGATGTGGGCTTTGGATTCATTGCATGAAAAGCAAGTTTCTTACGACCTTCAGGAATTTGTTAACCCTGAGAAGGACAGTGTCTCTAGGCCCCGGGCTGTCAAATCATCATAAAATACAGAAAATAACAAATATGATCAATAATCATATTTGGATGTTGAACCAATTTTACATCCCTAACATAAAGCCTGTTTGGTCATTATACATAATTCTTTTTATATGTTACTGGATATGGTTTGCTAATGTTTTGTTGAGGATTCTTGTATCCACATTCATAAGAGATAGTAGTTTGTCTTATTTTCATGTGATGTCAAATCTGGTTTAGTATAAGTTGGGGAATATGCCCTCTTCTCCATTTTGGTTGAGTAGTTTTAGTAGTTTTTTCTTGTTATTGTTTTAGGAATACCTTACATGCACATTTGCATTTCTTCTTTTTTATTATTATTTTATATAATTCTTACATCATTTTTCATTTTTGCACAATGTATGCATTTTCATTTTGGTTATATTCCCCATACAGTTCCCACCCCCTTTATTTTGACCCTAATCCCTCTTCTTCTCCCCCCCCCCCATTGAAATATTACTATTTCAATGTCTTCTCTAGTTATGGTCTATTCAGATGGTCTCTTAAGTCAGCTGCAGTAATTTGTTATCTTGCCATTTCATCCAAATTATTTAGTTTTTTGGTACTCAAGTTTTTTTTAACTCTTTGATCTTGGTTTCCTTTAGTTCTGTAAAATGTTTATAATGGTTTCTTATAACATGACATCTTAAACATTGTTTCACAGTTTCTTAAACACAACATCTGCTCACTCTCATGGATAGTTTGTTGCCTGCCTTTTTTCCCTAGTGTGTGACTCATTTTCCTCTTTATTTGCATGCCTCATTTTTCTTTTACCGCTAGCTAGGTATTTTATTTATATATATATATATATATATATATATATATATATATATATATATATATATATAAAAATCTGGGTACTGGTTCTGCCACCCTTCTGTGGCTTATAATTGTTATCTGCTTGTTTGTTTAGTGACTAATTGGATTCTTTTAGTGAAGTACATCCCCTTTCCCCCAACCTTTGTTGTTACGCCTCAGGAAGACATGCTCTTCTTATGCTTGGTCACCCCGAGATAACAATGGTTTTGACAACCTTCCTATCATGACCTCACCAACCTATTAAACTCCACTAATCACTGGCTGATTTTTTTCTGTTGTTTTCAGCAATGTCCCAGTGCATAAATTGCTCTACAAACTAATTCAATGAAATTCTAGTTTATTTGAAAGGAATAGTTTGTAAGATCAATGTTTGATCAATGTCGCTCTGTTCCCAGTTGGGTTCCTCCTATCTGTTTATTCCCCAGTACCCCCTGTAAAGTAGAGGGCTTACGATTTGATGTGTATCTCTTCCCAGTTGCCTTTTATCACAACCTCCTCTGTTCTTGACAGTGCGCTTAGGACCTGAGGAACTGCTCCATGGGGCAAATGACATCAGTTTCTGTGGGAAGAGAGTGGGTGCTAACCTTCCAGGCAAGATCACTAAACTAGAGCTCTGGATTTGGGGGTGGGGACAATGGCAACCTGCTCTCTTGAGTGACATCCCTGCTCTCAAAACCCAGCACTTGTCAAATGTGGACCAGAGGCCTGACATCCCCACAATTTGTCTCTCCTGGCATGAAACCACCACCTTGGGGGCCAAGGCAAGAATTTTTAACATGCCACAACCAAAGTTGAGCCTCTGTTCCCTGAGTGAGAGCTGGGTAAGGGAGAGAACCCCCACGTCTAGTCCACTTTCTCCCAAGACTTCACCTCAGCAACAAGCAGGCAGATGGAGATGGGGGCAGGATGAGGAAAGCCTACAATCCTGCACTCCCAGCAAGAAAGCCCTCCCACTGCAATCCAGGAGGACAGAGCCCTGTGTTCCTGGCTCTAGAAGCCTGGAGCAGAGTCTCCACCTGGCTGGGCTGGAAGGGGAAAGGGAAAGGATGGTCTTGCTTCAAATAACACACTCTTTTCTTATAGAATTTTTTCATTGGCAGTTTGCTCTTAGGATTATTTCCAGCAGCTGTAAATTGTTGCTTTTTTTTAATTAATAATTTTCAGTATTTACACTGGGGAGGTTGACAATAGAATGCATTATATTGTCATGCTGAAAATGGGTATTTCTGATGCTGTAGTTGTTGCTACTAGTAGAGATTCTGAAGGAGCATACGTGCAACTGCTTGTCATAATAGCTGCTAAGAATAACATAATTAGAGAACAAAATGAAGGAACAGTAAGTTCCTGGCCTAATTTCTTAATAGGGATAGTTTTTGTGAAATATAATGGATGACAAAGAAAAACTGTAATGATTGACTCTGTATTTGTGATTTGACTGTAGAGAGAGAAGAATTCTGGGAGCAAATGTGTGATTTCCATGCATTCCAGAACCACTACCACTATACAAGATCCTAAAAATCCAGAACATCTGAAGACATTTACTTTTGACCTGGCATATTGGTCTCACAATGGATTTGAAACGGATAAAGATGGTGTGTTTATTTCAGCTGATCCTGGCAGTAAATTTGCAGGCCAGGTAAATTACATACAACGGCAGTGGGAGCTTTTTTGAAACTGAAGTATTAACAGTAGAACAGTACAATAATGTTTGGGCAAATAATGTTTGATTTTAAAGTTACTCCTTTTTCAAGGTAAACATGAGCTCCAAAAATACAGTCATTGCCTAAATAATTTGTAGGTAGTCAAATCAGTTGGTTTCCCAACTTATTGGCATATTTTGAAAAAGGAATTTTATCTAAGTCAATTTTATTTTGCTTCTATAAGACAAGCAAAATCAGCAAAACTTGTGATACACTTAGCATTTGAGATCTTTTGTTGCATTGCATGTAAGTATGAGATGTACTATTTCACCTTAAAGTGGCTCACAATTTGGTAAAGGGAGACAAGCAAATAAGTGCATTCAAGTCTTACAGGTTCTGCGATAAGAGTAGTTACGAGCTACAATACAGCACCGAGTACAAGCAGTCGTTTCAATGTGGTCAAGACTCATGAGTTGCTTAGATCTGTGGGTTTAAAGTTTGCATTAAATTTGGAAATATTTCAGCCATCATTTCTTCAAGTGTTTTTGTTCCCCTTTTTCCTTCTGTGACTGCAATTACATGTATACTTGAGATTGTCCCACAGGTCACTGAGACTGTTCATTTCCCCCTAGCCTTTACTCTCTGTTCTTGTCTACCCACTTTCAAAAGTCCTTATTAAACCACCCTTAAAAAAAATACCCTCTTTCAAATTGTTCTGACTTAACAAGCTCACTGAAAGGAACTTCCAGGCCCTGGAATGGTTTGAGAACCACTGTCCTAGAGCACCAATTAAAAAATCAAACAGAAGTGTACCTAATGAATCAATTATAAGGAAATGGAATTATGAAACAATGCAAAACATGGTAGGAAAAGGGGGCATTTATTTTTTTAAAGATTTATTTATGCATGCAAGAGCTGGGGTGCAGGCCAGTGGTGTGGGGGGGTGGTGAGAGGATTCACCAGAGACAGAGTGGGGAACAGAACAGGCAGACTGATTGAAACACACTGCTGGGGGGAGCAGCAGGAGAGTCAGGGGAGGCCTCTGTGCCATGTAGGTCACCTCCCTGGCTGGGGATCAAACTTGTGCTTCAGTGGCTGCGGAGACAAAGTGGGGAGCAGAACAGTGTGCGGAAATTATCAAAGTTCCTGTCTTTCCATATGGATATCCAATATCTCCAGCACCATTTGTGGAGAGAAGTTCATCTTGAAGAACATTATCACCTGTATTAGCCTGCTAGGGTTGCCATAAAAATTACCACAAACTGAAAAGAACAAAAATTTATTCTACTATATATAAAATTAATCAAAAGTGGACCATAGACTTGCTAGAGCTAAAATTATAAAACCTCTAAAAGAAAAATAGGAGAAGGGCCTCCCTGGTGGTGCAAGGGGTTGAGCACTATGAAACATTCCGCAGCCACTGCAGCACAAGTTTAATGCCCGGCCAGGGAGTAACCCACATGGTGCAGCAGGCCTCTCCTGTCTCCTCGCCTGCTGTATTTCAGTACATCTGCCTGTTCTGCTCACCACTCTGTCTCTGCTGGATCCTCTCACCTCCACATCTCTGGCCTGCACCCCAGGTCTTGTATGCATAAATAAAATAAATCTTTAAAAAAACAAACAAAAAAAGAAAAATAGGAGAAAACTGTGATCTCAGATTTTGCAAAAATGTCTGAGGACAAAACTAAAAAAATTGGAAAAATGGAACTCATTTAAAAAATTTTTTCCCTTTGAAAGATACCAATAAGAACATAAAGAGACAAACAACCAAGAAAGGAAATAATTTTTGCAAAACATATCCAATAAAGTGTCCAAATATAAAATGAACTCTCACAACTTAATTTTTAAAAGGAAAAAAAAAATCAAATTTTTAAATGGCAAAAATAGAATCAGAGGCTTCACCAAAGAAGATATATAATTTACCTAAAACCAAATGCAAAACTCCTTTAGTCATTAGGGAAATGCAAATTAATACTACAATGAGAAAATACTGCACATTCAAGAGAATGACAAACATTTAAAACTGACAATACCAAGTGTTACCAAGCATATGGAACAACTAGAACTCTCATATAGTGTTTACAGCAATGCAGAAAGTTTCAGTTATTTTGGAAAACAGATAGTTTCTTTAAAATTTAAGCATGCAACTAATATGACAATCCAGCAATTCCAAGAAAAATATAAATGGGTATGTACTCACAAACACATGTATACAAAGTGACCTGGGGCCAAAGTTGGGAAGAGGGACTTGAGTATAAAGTGGCACAAGAGAACTTACAGAAATAATTATAATTTTAAAAATATTGATTGTGGTGATTGCCACATGGCTGAATACATGTTAAAATTTTAAAAGATTGGCAGTGGCCAGAGGTGAGGGGTGGGTGCATGGGTGAAATGGGTAAAGGTCATCAAGAGGTATAATATTCTGGAAATCATTTTCTAATATATATTAGAATATGATCATTTTCTAATATATTAGAATATATCTAATATAATCATTTTCTAATATATAGATCATTTTCTAATATACTAGATAATATGTGGTACAATTGAAACTAATAAAAAGTTATATGTCTATCATTTCAATTTTTTAAAAATATGTAAGAATTATGCTGTATGAAGTCTGATCAACTTTGCCAACAACCTTTCCTCTCATTCCCAAGTGAGAATGAACACCTGCCTGTTACAATACAGCTATTATTATTAGAAAAACCTAGACTATATTGCAGAATCATTGCTTCACATATTACAATGCAGAAAATGTTTTGTGTAGTTGATTATAGGATGGTGTGGGAAGAAATTGGAAATGTAGCTATGACTTCTTGGTAAATCCAATCTACAACCGATACCCAAAAGATATTTCAACAGAAAACTGTATGAGAAAACTACACATCTAACAAAATTCATAGAACAATTCTATTTTTTTTTTAAGATTTATTTTATTTATAGAAGAGCCGGGGTACAGGCCAGATGCGTGGGAGGGTGAGAGGATTCACCAGAGACAGAGAAGGGAACAGAATAGGCAGACTGAAGAAATACACTGCTGAGGGGAGCAGCAGGCGAGACAGGAGAGGTCTGCCTCGCCATGTGGGTTGCTCCAAGGCTGGTGGGGATCGAACTGGCACTGCAGAGGATGCGGACAACTTCATAGCACTGCACTCAACCGCCTGCGCCACTAGGGAGGCCCCTGAACAATTCTATTCTTTAAGGTTTTATTTAACAACATTCTATACTACTTGTTTAAGGTTTTCAATATATAGAAATTGACAATAAAATCATTTTCCCAAGTGTCTTTTCCCAATTAGTACAGGGAAGACAGCAAAACTAGTTACTTGGCTAAGCTTGGTAAGCACTTAAATCTAGCTAATAACTCCTATGGCAGAACATATATCCATTATATAAACACATTTTTCTCTGGTAAAAATATGATTACAATGTTCAGGGAAACCATAGGTCAAATTCTGCATTTTAGACCTGGATCTCTCCTTTTCTTCAAGTATAAGTTTTGTTTCTTTCTCATTAGAAACAGTATAAAATTTGGTTATTGTTTGTTGTATCTATATAAATCACACTAAATTGATACGTGTATTTTTCCCAGAAAATATGCAAATGTATATGTTGCAACAAATGGAACCCTTAATGCTTTCTTACTGTATTATGAAATTAGTGAGCAGAAGCGAATGCACTCTTTGAAACAGCCTAAGTAAGAAAAACCAATGGCCCCTGTAGCAGTCAGACCACAGCCTCCTTTTCAAGCAATTGTGGGCACAAGTGTCTGTGTCTCCCACTTAATGGAAAAAGGGGGGCACAATTGTATGTGTATGTTGGAGAAATGCTCAGAACCACTAGGTCTTGTGAAAAAGAAGAGAGTTCACCAGAAGAATTTTTCTGAGTTTTAAAAACTTAGTCCATGGGGTCTCCCCGGTGGCGCAGCGGTTGAGCGTTGGGTTGCGAAGCTGCCCGCAGCCTCTGCGGCGCCGGTTCGATCCCCGGCTGCTCCCCAGCCATCGGAGAAGGGTCCCACATGGCGCGTAGACCTCTCCTGCCACCCGCTGCTCCCCTCAGCAGTGTACTTCGGTCCCTCTGACTGCTCTGCTCCCCGCTCTGGCTCTGGTGAATTCTCTCACCCTCCCACGCTTCTGACTGTACCCAGTGCTTGTATAAACAAAGCAAACAAACAAATAAAATAAACAAATAAAATAAATAAATAAAACATGCCTCTATTAAAAAAAAAATCTTTAAAAAAAAAAAAACAACTTAGTCCATGGACCTCCCCTGGTGGCACAGGTGGTTGAGCGCCACGCTGTGAAGCTGCCCACAGCCTCTGCAGTGCCAGTTTGATTCCTGCCTGCCGGCCAGCCAGTGAAAATCCTACATGCGGGGCAGACCTCTCCTGTCGCGCCTGCTGCTCCCCTCAGCAGTGTATTTCGTCAGTCTGCCTGTTCTGTTCCCCACTCTCTCTGGTGAATCCTCTCACCCTCCCGTGCATCTGGCCTGTACCTTGGTTCTTATACAAATAAATAAATAAATCTTAAAAAAAAACTTAGTCCATATTTGGGCAAAGATGTAAAAGGCACAAATTCATGATTGATGGATACTAGTGAGTTGAAGATACACCTTGTGGTCCATGGTGATAAGTTTTTTCTAAACTGACAAATACCTCTTTGGTTTCCAGTTTCATTCTGTTGGTTCTAAGACAGCATTTGAGTTAGCCTTCAACTAGGTCATTTAATCTGAATTAAGGTGGAATTTATCAAACCAGAATATATGTTCTATTTTAAGAGTATCGTGAAATGCCTGTGCTGAACATCATGCCTGTGATCTTTCCAGAGGGAGATTTTCCACGACCTCGGCAGAGGGATTCTGGACAGCGCGTGGCAAGGCTATAACTCTACCCTCCTGGCCTATGGCCAAACCGGCTCTGGAAAAAGCTATTCCATGATTGGATTTGGTGCAAACAAGGGGCTCATTCCAAATGTGTGTGAAGAGCTCTTTCAAGAGATTGAGAACCGAGAGAGAGACAAAGAATACCAGGCATGTGTTATTCCGGAATGACTTTTTTTTTTTTTGAGATCACATTGATTTACACCACTGTAAATGTTTGAGAATATAGGTTCACAGCTCCTCAAGTGTATGTTACCACACCACACCCAGCACCAAAGTACCAGGAACTTTCCACCTTAGTTCATTGGGCACCACTTCCATCTTTTGCTCCCAACCCGTTCTGTGGTCAAACTCCAAGGGTTCATTTTGTTTTGTTTTTGTCTCTCCCTTTGCTTTGTTTATTTATATTCTACATATGACTGAAATTATCCAGTATTTGTCTTTCCCCTTCTGACTTATTTCACTTAGCATAACCCCCTCCACGTCTATCCATGTTGCTGCAAATAGCAAGAGTTCATCCTTTTTTTAATAACAGCAATTTTACATTGTGTTTATATGCCATAACTTCTTTATGCACTCATCTGTCATCGTTAAGATGTTTCCATATCTGGGCCTCCCCGGTGGCACAGTGGTTGAGCACTGGGCTGCGAAGCTGCCCTCAGCCTCTGCAGCACTGGTTCGATTGCTGGCGGCAGGTGAGGGTGCCACATGGTGCACAGACCTCTCCTGCCACCCGCTGCTCCCCTCAGCAGTGTACTTTGGTCCTTCTGCCTGTTCTGTTTCCCGCTCTGGCTCTGGTGAATTCTCTCACCCTCCTGTGCTTCTGACTGTACCCAGTGCTTGTATAAATAAATAAATAAATCTTAAAATAAACAAATGTTTCCATATCTTTGCTGCTATAAACAGTGCTGCAATGAACATAGCATGTGTATATGATTTGAAGAACCTCCACACCATCTTCCATAAGGGCTGCACCAATTTGCAATCCACACCAAAAGTGTGCAAGGGGTTTTTTTTCTCCATACCCTCACCAACACTTAGGCCATTCTCACAGTTGTGAGGTGATATTGATTTATGGTTTTGATTTGTATTTTCCTAATAATAATTGATGATGAGAATTTTTTTCATGTGCCTGTTGGCCATTTGTATGTCTTCTTTGGAGACGTGTCTTTTCAGGTCTTTTGTCCATTTTTAGGGTATCATGTGAAATTTTGTTGTTGTTATCATGTGAATTCTTTCTATGACTTGAATATTAGCTTCTTGTATTATGTGCAATTTTTTCTCCGATTCATTCTTTTCACTTTAATGATAGTTTCTTTTGTGTGTAGAGTTGTTTTTTTTTTTTTAGGGGGGGAGGTGGTTTTCATGTAGTCCCATTTGCTTGCTTTTGGTTTAATTACCCTTGCTATTGGAGTTGAGTCCCCAGGACATCTCCAAGGTCAATGTGTTGGTGTCTATACCCTGTTCCCTTCTATGTGTTTTGTGGCTTCAGGTCTAAACATCCAAGTCTTTAATTCATTTTGAATTAATTTTGTATATGGTGTTACATAGTTGTCTAGTTTCATTCTTTTGCATATGACTGTCCAGCTTTTCCAGCATCATTTGTTGAAGAGACTTTCCTTTCTTCATTGTATACTCCTAGCTTCTTTGTCATAAATGAGTGGTCCATGTATGTGTGGGTTTATTTATGAACTCTGAATTCTATTTCATTGATCTGTGTGGCTATTTTGTAATCGATATCATAATGCTTTCATTACTAATGCTTTGTAGAATAGTTTGCAGTTGAGGAATGTGATAATTCCTAGAATCCCTTCATTGTTTTTTAAAGATTGATTGATTGATTGATTGATTGATTGATTTATACAAGAACTGGGGCACAGGCCAGATGCGCAGGAGGGTGAGTGGACTCACCAGAGACAGAGTGGGGAGCAGAACAGGCAGACTGGTGAAATATACTGCTAAGGGGAGCAGCGGGCACGACAGGAGAGGTCTGCCTCACCATGTGGGACCCTCGCCAGCCGGCCAGAATCCAACTAGCGCTGCAGAGGCTGTGGACAGCTTCACAGCGCAGCACTCAACTGCCTGTGCCACCAGGGGAAGCCCTAGAATCCCTTCATTAGGGAATTTTTTTTTTCATTTTGGAAATCCCTCACCCCAAATGAAAAATTATCAGCATCTTTATTATTAGGATAATGTTAATTTTCCATACCAAAATTTTTACATGAATACAAAATCATATTGCCACTAAATGAAGTGTTGAATTTTTTCTGGTTCTATGGAGTAAAAGTCAAAGAAATTTTTTAAAAGGCATTTTGAGTATCAAAGAAACAGACATCCTAAATGCTAACAATAGTACGTTTTTTATCATTGAAGCTTACACCATAAAACCTTTGCTGACTCAAGTCTACCCTTTCCTTTGTTTCTCTCTTCTACAAATCTGTGGGTGTGTGCTTATCTTAGCTTATTGGTTTTAATTTTAAGAAAAGAATAAAGAACATTATTTTGTTTCTTAACTAACCCAGTATAGTTCCCTACTTGCTCTAGCATAAAACCCTCAAAACTAAATTTTACAATCATTAAAGCTTAGTGACATTTTCAAAATGGAGAGTAGCCATTAACATAATTAGCTTTAGAACATGACAGTAAGCAGTCTTGTATTTCTGCTTCCTCCAAATGACAAAAGTGATTAAAGTGTTTTATGAAAATTCAACAGTGCACCATCTTTTAAAATCTTAATCATCAACTGATTTAAAAATATGTTCAAGTTAGAGAGAAAAATGACTAAAACCCCATTACCTCACTAAAAAGCATTCATATTTCAGTACATTTTTTTAAATTTTTAACCAAAAATTTTCCACATCAATACAATAAAATATTTAAAAATTCAAAAACCCAAGAGAAAGGAAGCAAAAACATCTACATGGATATACATAGCAACATATCACAAAGTGGAAACGACCTGAATATCCATCAACTCATGAATAAAATGCATCCATGTAACGGATTATTATTCAAGATTAAAACAGAACATAGCATCTGATACATGCTACATCATGGATGAAACTTGAAAACAAGTTCTTGTGTGTGTTTTTTAAAACTATTTATTTATTTATGCATACAAGAACCGGGGTATAGGCCAGAGGTACGGGGGGTGAGAGGATTCACCAGAGACAGAGCAGGAACAGAACAGGCAGACTGACAAAAATACACTGCTGAGGGGAGCAGCGGGCAAGACAGGAGAGGTCTGCTGCACCATGTGGGTCAGCGCCCTGGCAGGGTATCGAACTGCAGAGGCTGCGGACAGATTCACAACGCTGTGCTCAACCCTCTGTGCCACCAGGAAGGCCCCATGCCCAAAGTTCTGATGTGCCTGAGTCTGAGCCTTTTATTTCATTCATCATCCCAGGCACTTGATGGATTTTTCAATCTGGAGATTCCTGTCCTTCAATCCAGAGAAACTTTTCTACTCTTACTTCCTTATACCCTTCTCCCCTGTGTTTCTCTCATTTTTTTCTTTCTGGAATGCATATTAATTGGATTTTGGACTTCTTGTACTAAAGTTCTAATTTTACCTTTTACTTCCTATTTTCCATTTTGGAGTCTTTTTGCATAAATTATAAGTTTATAAACTAGTTTTGCATAAATTATGAGTTTATAATTTATAAGTTTAATTTATACACTTGAACTCTGCATCTTTTTAATGCCAACATGTCTTTTTTTTTTTTAAAGGTTTATTTATTTATTTATACAAGCACTGGGTGAAGCGCAGGAGGGTGAGAGAATTCACCAGAGTCAGAGTGGGGAACAGAACAGGCAGACTGATGAAGTACACTGCAGAGGGGAGCAGCGGGCATGACAGGAGAGGTCTGCGTGCCATGTGGGACCCTCGCCGGTGGCCGGGGATTCAACCGGCGCTGCAGAGGCTGGGGGCAGCTTCGTAGCCCAGCGCTCAACTGCTGCACCACCAGGGGAGGCCCGCCAACATGTATTTTCATGGATATAATTCTTTATCTCTCTAGAGCTATTCACTACAGGCTTTTGAAAATGTTTTCTTCTACTCTATGCATTGTCTTTTTCTCTGAGTTCTGTTTCTCTATTATATGTTTTTCTATTGTTTGTTTTGACTCTTGTTGGAGGTTGTCCTTGCCTGCTAATCCTTAGCCATTTGTTCATTTTAAAACATGAGACATTCTGGTTAGTTGGAAGTTCTATAGACATGAGGTTAGACTGGCAAGATTTACCCCAGGTGACTGACACTTACACCAGCCTGTCTGTGGATGGGAAGTAGTGGGGGTGAAATGTCAGTATCTTAGAGCCTTTTCTTTCAGTTAGAGCCATTCAGACTCCTCCCTCTCCTGCTAAGAGGTGCAAGCTTTGCTAGCAATATTCCAGAAGTGTGAAGACCATTTTTTTTTCTCTGCCTATGTTCAGGTTGGTGGGTGAGCAATACAAATACACACCCGCAGAGTTATTATCTGTTTTTGAATTTATATTATATTAAGAATTCCCTCCTCATCATTAAAATTATCTGAGTTTTGGTGCCTCCCTGGTGGCGCAAGGGGCTAAGCACAGCACTATGAAGCTGCCTGCAGCCTCTGCAGCACGAGTTCAATCCCCAGCCAGCCAAGGAGCTATCCACATGGAGCAGCAGACCTCTCCTGTCTCGCCCACTGCCCCCCTCAGCAGTGTATTTCAGTCAGTCTGCCTGTTCTGTTTCCAACTCTGTCTCTGGTGAATCCTCTCACCTCACCCCCCACACCTCTGGCCTGTACCCCAGTTCTTGTATGCATAAATAAATAAATCCTAAAAAAAAAATCTGAGTCTCATATTGCATGAGAAAGAGTTTTACTACATCTAACATTAGCTTTTCCCTTTATGCACATATATGTTGATTCCATATTTTTTCACTGTTTCAAAAGAATATTTATGCTCTTTTTTATACAGGTTACATTCAGTATGCTGGAAATTTACAATGAACAGGTAAGGTGATTATATTTTCTGATGAACAAATCAGAGGGTCTCTCTGCCACTTCATGAACATTAGGGGTGCCCCCTCATTTATCCCACGCTTAAAATCCAAACTGTTCAGCCTGGCATTGACAATCTACTTTACTTCTTTTTAGGTAGATTCAGCTTCATTAAATGTCCCTTTTTCTCTACACTCCATGCTTCGGCCATGGAGATCATGCATTTTCTGCTACATCTGCCCTTTCTCTCTCCAGAATGCCCTTCCTGCTTTCTTTGCCCTTAAAGAAACCACTAAACTTCGTCATTTCCTCTAGACATGCAGAGGCAGTTGGCCTCAGTCAGCGTGGTGTTGCTCAAAGGATCAGAGAGTAAACATTTTACGCTTTCAGGGTCATAAAGTCCCCGTTGCGACTACTTGACTTTGTAGCATGACAGCACCCATAGGCCGCATGTAAGTAAATGAAGTAAATGGATGTGGCTGAGCCCCAGTGAAACTATGGACCCCGAAACTTGGATTTCACATCTTTTCGTGTACCACCACATAATTTTTTGGAATTTTTTTCACTCATATAAAAATGTGAAAAATATCTTTGTCTCAAGGAGGCAGGCTGAACTTGGCACCCAGGCCTACTCCTGGGTAGGTAGAAAAGAGAGTTCAAACCCCAGCTCTCTCGGGCACGAGCTGTGTCACTTTGGAAAATCACTTCGTCTCAGAGTTGAGTTTGCTCATGTGTAAAGCAGGGAATTTAAAATGAGATACAGCACATTAAGACGTACTAAATTCTAAATTGCTTACACAGTGCTAAAGAAGACTAGAAATTCAGCAAGGGCTTTTTTCCTTGACCAGGGTCAAGGAAAATTTGGAAATTTACAATGAACAGGTGAGGTGATTACATTTTTTTACAGGTCAGATTATCCTTTAAAAGCCCATTTACATGTTTGTGTCTCCAAAACACATCATGGTCTCCTCGTGAGCACCATCCTAGCTGCAGCACTGAGTGAGATACTTAGTTTAGAATGGGTGCCCCTGGTGCTTGCTGAGAGGATGAATTGACGAAGGTTTTCTGTCATTGTAAATTTCTTAGGGGCAGTGATCATATCCTAATAGCTTTTGTGTAACTCCCACCACGATCCAAAGCCTTGCACTTAATTGTTAATATTATTAGAGGAATAAATCTGTCATTATTTATCCTTTTACATCAAGGAGAGAAAATGTCCATTTTGTTCCTTGGATGCTTCCATGAGTCAGTTGTTACTGGGGCAGGTTGATTGTAGATTTAAGTGGGTCACTGATTACGTTTCTTTTTCTTTCACATTCATGGGCTTGGATGATGGGATGACTCTTTTATTTCAGAGAATAACTTTAGGAGGACTTTACTTCCTTTATTACCAAGTTCTTGTGGGGAAGAACGGGCGGGTGATGCCGCACTGCTCTGCGTGCAGTTACTAAACATTTGCCAAGCTAGTTCCGGTTAGACTGTTCTCTCAACCAAGAACTGATTGTCAGGGATTACGTTGCCATCTTCTAGTAAGAAATCAAGTCCTGCTAAGGGAGTTCCTGTCTGGTTGGAGTGTTTGAAAATAAAATAAATAAGGATTTGAAAATAAAACTGAGTTTCTAAAATAAATTATACTTCTGACTTCATAATTACAACAGGTTCCTCTATTTTCTTGCTTGCCATTTCCATATATATACATATATTTATGTAAATATATATTTAAAAGACACATTTATTCAGTGTCATCATCAGGCTATTACATTTAGCGATCAACAGTGTGAGTGCCAATTTTTTTTTTAATCCACTATATTAAAGCCTTTTTTGGAATACTTTCCACTTTCCACAGAACAGAAACTAAAACAATCTGTTATACAATTAATCATAAGTACAGTCCTTGAGCTTTTTGCCCATACACGAGTATTTTTTTAAAAAGATTTATTTATTTATGTATGCAAGAACTGGGGTATAGGCCAGAGGTGCACGGGATGAGAGGATTCACCAGAGACAAAGTGGGGAGCAGAACAGGTGGATCTATTGCAATACACTGCTGAGGGGAGCAGCAGGTGAGACAGGAGAGGTCTGCTTCCTCCCTGGCTAGCTGGGGAATCAAACTCGCTCTGCAGTGGCTGGCAATAGCTTGAAAGAGCTGTCTTTAACCCCTGTGCCACCAGAGAGGCCCCCCCATACACGAGCATTATCTTAAACATATTTTCTTTGTAGCAGCTGGGCGTTGCCACCACTGTGCTCGGCCAAGTTCACAAATTATTGCAACCTGCCTCTTCCCGTCTTCTCTGGCCCTGCTCTCCTGCTAAGCTTTGTTTCCGCAGTTAATTTAAACTTCCTGCCCCTTCCATGCCTACTGCTGCTGCCAGAACCACCATAGCCAGCTTGATTTCATAGATGGGTGAAATATTGGCTTCCACCAACCTCGAGACCAGAGCTTCTGCCTCCAAAGTTTCCTCCCCTTCACAGGTCCAAAATTTGAAGATTGATTGTCCTAATTGCTAAAAGCGTTGTAGCTTCTGCCACCTCTAAAAGTGCTTCCATCATTACTGAATCCACTATAGCCATCCCCACTACCTCCATATCTACCACCACGGCTGCCACCAAAGCCACCTCGACCACTGACATTTCCTCCATGACCAAAGTTGTCATTCCCACCAAAACCACCTCCACGACCACCACCAAAGTTTCCAGAATCACTTGGATGCCTTTGGCTGGGTGAATCACTGGCCATCTCTTGCTTAGACAGGGTTTTCCTGACTTCAGAGTGGTGGCCATTCACAACGTGGGATTTCTGACCATGAAAGAATCATGGTCATCAAAGGTTACAAAAGTAAAGCCTCAGCTCTCACCACTGCCTCATGCAGTCATTCAGTCACTTCAATTTCCCTTACAGCTCAAAATCTCTTTGATGATGTTCTTCAGTGTCTTATTTAATGCAACCAACAGAAATCTTTTTCACAGTTGCATGGACACCAGTTCCTTGACAATCTTCCCTTGACATAGCCTCTGGTTCCATTAGTTTCTTCCACCTTGCGGGGCTGTGCATTCATGGCTGCAGCCACCTCCTCCATGTGGCATATGTGGCAAACCCAAAGCCTCTGGCTCACTTGGTGTTTGGATCTCCCGTTACCACAGAATCTGTGGGCATTTCCAGTTGCTCAAAATGGCTTCTTAGACTCTCATCAATTGTTTAAAAGCTTAAACCTCTGATGAAGCAGATTTTCTAGCTCCCTGGGAGAATGACTTGGACATGATAGCAGTGGAAGGGGAGACGTTTACAATACTTACTTCGTGGCATCCACAGGCAGAAAAGAGCCCTAATTCTTAAAGTAATGAGGTTGTCTGGTACCTATGGAAATTTAGCATTTATTCATTCATCCAAAAATATTTATGGATCACCTAATATATTCCAGGCAGAGCTATAACAGTGAAGTAAGCAAAAATCCCTGCCTTCCTGAAGTTAACATTTTTTATTCTTTGTTCCATAGGTAAGAGACTTGCTGTCCAGAACCAAGAAACCCGGAGGACTCAAAGTAAGGGAAGATCAGCAGCTGGGTTTTTACGTGGAGGGTCTGAAGTCAGTGCCATGTGAGAACTATGCACAAATTGAAAGGCTGATGGAACAAGGGACAAGAACAAGGACCACAGCTTCCACCAATATGAACACCAGCAGCAGCAGATCGCATATGGTTATCACCATTCAGTTCAAGCAGGTGAGATTCAAGTGAAGGCCATTTTCCTGATCTCCCCTCAAAAGTGGTCTATGAGAAGGACTCCAGCGATGCAACAGGTTGGTGAATATTAAGAATCTTTTCTGACTTGACCTATGGATTAACCACAGATTATAAAGTCAGAAGCAGGAAAAAGTGATTGCTTTGCTCATGGTGCGCCCGTAGGAAGTGCTACCAGATCCCCCAAAGTGCCCATGGTACTACAGGCTGCTTTCCTCCAGTAAGTTCCATGCCCTTAGGTGTGAATTTTGACCCTAAGTTGATTCAGAAGCAAATTGTAGAGACACAAGGGGGGTTGTCAAGGAGAATTCTATCATTGTCCTTCTGTGTGGTGTGACCAGTTTTCTGAATCATGAGCCACCACTATGGGCCCTCCAGACAAATGTGAAGTCTTTGAAGCCAAGTAATCCCATAACTCTCCACTAACTAGACTCTTTGATTTAACTTTTCTCGTTGATATTCCTCGGAGGATACCAGAGAGTGGTATAACTCAGAAATGGTTATTCACAAAGCGTGTGTAAGCAACTACTGTTTTATTACCTTTGTCCCCTAAGCCACAGCATGAATGATAAAATAGTGATAAATGAAGATTGTCTAACCAGAAAGGGTGGAATAAACACTGGACCACATATGACTCTGTTTACTAGCTGTGAGACTTTGGGAAATAACTTACTCTTCTTCCACCTCGGTTTTCTCTTCAGTAAAATGAGGTAATTGCTTTCCTCACAAGAAGGAAGGCTTAAATAAGCACTACATTTTTTAAAAAAAGATTTATTTTATTTAAACAAGTGCTGGGGTACAGACCAGATGTGTGGGAGGGTGAGAGGATTCACCAGACACACAGTGGGGAGCAGAACAGGCAGACTGACGAAATATACTGCTGAGGGGAGCAGCGGGCGAGACAGATGTCTGCTGTGCCATGTGGGATTCTCCTGGGTGGCCAGGATCTAACCGGCACTTCAGAGGCTGCGGATAGCCTCACAGCGCTGCGATCAACCGCCTGCGTTACCAGGGAGGCCCAAATAAACACTGTATTTTAGAGAACTTTTAAGTACATTTCACTTGGTTTTATAATGTTAGTCATTTAGAGGCTTTATAAATGGTTTGCCCTCCTATTTTTCTTGATATTTTAGAGGCAAGAGAAGAAACCATTGGGAAAAAATGAGTGCAGAGATTTAACATCAATATTTTTTTATTGATGTCAGTAATAATACTAACGCCTGTTATTGTATGCCAAGCATGGTGAGAACCATTATTCAGTTGTATTTTACCCTCCTTATAACATCTCAACATGATGCTATATTATCCATGTTTTATAATTGAAAAGTTGAAACTCGAAAGTTATTTGCTCACAGTCATGTAGCCCACAACGACATTTATAGCTCTCTAAAATCATGTTCTTTTTACTACATGACCACACCATCTTGGACTATTACTTATTTTGCAGATTTTATGTTGTAAAAGTTTATTGACATAGAAATACTGGAGTAAAACTTGGAAAATAGTTTTGCAGCATTGGGGAAGGGCAAGTGAGACGTTTGGACCTGGTGACACATCGTTGTAAATGTTGTTGTAGAGAGGACGACATTTTAATTTGCAGATTTTAATTCCATCTCTTTGTGTGTGAAATACATTAGAAGAAAAATTTTAAAATGTAACCAGGAGAATTTCATGTGTAATCTACTACCTTTCTAATCACATGACCTGGGTGCTTTCCTACAGGTTTTCCTCGACAGAGACTTCACCAAACAGTCCGTTATTAATTTGGTGGATTTAGCAGGAAGTGAGAGGCAGAAATCTTCAGGATCTGAAGGAGACAGACTGCGGGAAGGATCACGAGTTAACTTGAGTTTAACCAATTTAGGAAATGTTATCAGGTAAGTAATCAGTGGATAGATATTTGTGCCATTCATGACCTAGTCTCCTCTTGGAGGTAACTGCCATGTTGTACTTTATATTTATTCTCTGTCTCTGTCTCTTTCCCTCCCTTCTTTCTGTCTGTCTCCCTCCTTTCTTTTATTCTTTCTTTCATCCTTTCTTGTGTTATTGCATGTTAGTATTACAATTTAGTGGCACTCATTTTTTAATTTTATAAAAACTGTAAAATATTATATTGTCTTCTGGATCTTATTTTTTAAGTTATTAAAGTATAAATTACATATATTGAAGTGCATAAATCTTAAATGCTCAGCTCAATGAATTTTTATATATATGTGTGTATATATATATATATATATATATGTAATTGTCCCCAGATCAGAATATAGAACATTTCTAAAATCCAGAAAGCTCCCTTATCCCCCTCTCCTAGCTTTTACTTTCATCAGACAAAATTGACTTTGTCACCAAATATTGGTTCTGCCTACCTTGTAGGAATTTTTCATATAACTGCAATCACTTATATGAGTCATTGTCTTTTGCATCTGGTTTCTTTCACTAAGCATTAGCACTATGATAGTAATCCATGTTATTTCTTGTAGCAACTGGCAGTTCTTTTTCATTGCTTTGTAGTATTCCATTAAAGGAATATACCATAAGTTGTCCATTCTCCTATTGATAGACATTTAACTTGTTTCTGGCTTCGGACTATTATAAATCAAGTCATATAACTTGTACTATGAACATTCTTATATATACACATTGGGGGACACTAATTACTCATTTTTGAATATATGTATGCCCAGGAGTAGAATTGCTGGGATATGCTTTTAGACTCAAAATTATTAACAATATCTATCCATGTTATGTGTGACTACAATTAATTTACTTTCTGTTCTTTCACTAAACATTGTTCTATGATATTTTTCCATGTTGTTGCAGCAGTTGTTACTTCCTTTTTGTTGTTATGTAGTACAGTCATGCATCACTTAATGATGACAACTGGTAGATATAATGGTGATTCCTATAGGCTCTACCAAGTAGTCAAGGTTTATAATAGGTTATATCACTTAGGTTTGTTTAATTATACTCTATGATGTTAGCACAACAGTGAAAGCACATGAAGATGCATTTCTCAGAACATATCCCTCTCACTGAGTGATGCATGACTGAATATATTCCATTATGGGAATGCATTGCAATTTATTCAATATTCCCTGGGATTGGCATTTTGTTTCCAAGTTTTTTGGTGTTTATTTTTTCTGTGGTTGTACCAATTTACATTTTTAGCAACATTGTATAACATAGCCTATTGATCCTTATTCTTTCTAAGGTTTGGTATTATTAGATTTCTTGATTTCTACTAATTAAAGGACTGTAAATTATTTTAATATGGCCTTGATATTCTTGGTTACTAGCAAGTTTGAGTACCATTTGATATACTAACCATCAGTATTTCCTCTGGAAGTACCTGCTTATATTTTTTCCATTACTTTATTGAGTAATTTTCCTTTATATTAATTTTTAGACATTTTTTACATATTTTTATTATTACTCTTTTTTCAGGTATATGTATTATAAACATCTTTTACCAGTGTCTTATCTTTTCAACTTCTTTAAGGAAGCTATTTATGAGCAGAGATATGGTTTGTTTTGTACATTTTTGTATGTGTCTCATTTAAGAAAACCAGTCAGAAAAATATCTACTTATATTATAGAAGTGTCTGATTTCTGTGTGTAACATAAGGTAGGCGTGTTTTTCATTATTTCCCTTCCTGTATTTTCTTTCATAGAAAATACCTTTTTCCTGGATAATCCAAGGATCTGTATCCTACCTATGTAATTGTTGATATGCATTTTAATTCTATTATTCTCTAACCCTAAAAGACATTATTACTGGGCCTCCCCAGTGGCGCAGCAGTTGAGCGCTGGGTTGCAAAGCTGCCCGCAGCCTCTGCATCACCGGTTCGATCCCCGGCCGACGGGTGAGGGTCCCACATGGCGCACAGACCCCTCCTGCTGCCCGCTGCTCCCCTCAGCAGTGTACTTCAATCCCTCTGCCTGTTTTGCTTCCCACTCTGGCTCTGGTGAATTCTCTCACCCTCCGCGCTTCTGACTGTACCCAGTGCTTGTATAAATAAATAATAAATAAATCTTAAAAAAAAAAGACATTATTACTGCTATTTTATGTCAGAGTTCATCCATATCTCTTTTTTTGGTTATTGTTTATTCTTTTCTAAACCTCAGAGTTGTTATCTAAGAGCAATTTCCTTCTGGTTTAATATATTCTCTAGAATTTTCTTTAGTAATAATCTGCTGATGGCAAATTCTCAGTTTTTGTTTTGGTGAAATATTTTTATTTCATCTCATTCCTTTTTTTTTAAGATTTATTTATTCATGGATACAAGAGCTTGTGTTCAGGCCAGAGGTGTGGGGGATGAGAGGATTCACCAGAGACAGAGTGGGGAGCAGAACAGGCAGAAGGACCAAAAAACACTGCTGAGGGGCACAGCAGGCAAGACAGGAGAGGTCTGCTGAGCCATGTGGGTAGCTCCCTGGCTGGGGATGGAACTTGTGCTGCAGAGGCTGTGGAGAGCATAGGTTGCAACTTAACCCCTAGTGCTACCAGGGAGGTCCCTCATCTCATTCTTAAAAGATAATTTTGCTGAGTATGTAATTTTACATGGGCAATATTTTATTTCAGCTCATTGAAGATACCATTCTCCAGCTGTCAACTGTTGTTCAAATTGCTATTCTCTTGAAATAATTGGTTGTTTGGTCCTAGCTGATTTTAAACTCTCCCTTTTCCCTCTCTACCTCTCTCCCTCTTCCTTCTCTTTCTTCCCTCTCCCTCCTTCTCCTTCACCTTCTTTCCTTTTTTTTTTTAATTTTTAATTTTTAAGATTTATTTATTTATTTATACAAGCACTGGGTACAGTCAGAAGCGTGGGAGGGTGAGAGAATTCACCAGAGCCAGAGCGGGGAGCAGAGCAGGCAGAAGGACCGAAGGACACTGCTGAGGGGAGCAGCGGGCGGCAGGAGAGGTCTACGCGCCATGTGGGACCCTTGCCGGTGGCCGGGGAGCAGCCAGGGTGCTGCTCGAACTGGTGCTGCAGAGGCTGCGGGCAGCTTCGCAACCCAGCGCTCAACCACTGCGCCACCGGGGAGGCCCACCTTCTTTCTTTTAATGTTCCTTAATTTCATTATGTTGCATTTGAATGGTTTTTTGCTTTTATTTATACTGCTTCCAATCTCTTGACCTCCACAGCTCTGTGATTAGAGTTTCATCAACACTGAAAATTTTCAGTGATTATCTCCACTGTTGCTTCTGCCCATTCTCTGCCCACCTCCACTCTCCTTCCTCTCCTAGAACTTCAGTTTGACTACTTGGATCTCACTCTGTTGTTTATGTCTAACCTTCCTTTCTTGTTTCTCATCTGTATGTCTCCAGGTTGCAATCTGGATGACTGCTTTTGAACTATCTAGTTCACAACTGCAGTTACAGCAGTGTCTAATTTGCTGTTAAACCTCTCTGTGGTTTTTAACTGTTTATTCCTTTCTAAAAGATTGTTTTGTTTCTTTTTCAAATTAATAAATTAATTTGATAGATTTCTCTGATTATAATTTCTCAAAGATATGATTTCCTCCTCTTCCCCATTCTCTTTAAGGCCAATGTCTTCTTTGTGATCCCCTGGAGTGGGTGGGCTGAGATCTTTATCTCTCACCTACTCTAATGCTGTAATCAGATGAGCTCCTAATTTTATGGGTTCTTCTGAAGGCAGTATGAGAGAAAGGCAGGAACTAAAACTCATTGCTCATACCTATCTTCACTCTCTAGCCTGCCACACCTCTCAGATCATAGCCCTAGACACAAATTTACAACAGCCTTCAGCTCTTCAGGGTTTCCTTACAGATTTTAATGTGTTAGTTACTCAGATCTGGGCTCCCTTCTTTCCATTATCATTTTCCCTGGGTTGATTTCAGGAAAGAGCCAGCAGCCCTGTGGTTAGCTGTCTTGTTTTGGCATCTTTATACAGAAGGGCTCTCAACTTTTGGCTGTAATTTAGAGTTATATCAGGTTTATGGGGTCAAAGAGGGGACTAGAGGAGGTGTTTCTGACTTATCCTCAGGGAAGCAGATTTCTTCTTGGTACATTCTCTTAAATTTTCATTTGTATTTTCTTTCTCACTCAGTGCTCTGGCTGATGCAGCCATGGGGAAGAAAGTCTTGCACATTCCTTACAGAGACTCTGTCTTGACCAAGCTGCTCCAGTCGGCTCTGGGCGGGAACAGCAGAACTGCTTTGGTAAAGTGACTTTCTTGCAACATTTTAAACTAATTCAACTACCATTATTTTATTATTAATAAAATCATTCTCAGTATACCACTGCATTTACACAGCACATTCTTATATATATTATCTGAGGGCTCCTGAAGCCTGTTCTATTACAGTGTTCAAAGTTTCGATATTGTTAATTTTAATTTTGAAAAATTCTGTACTTTTCAGGATCTCTACAAGGAAGATAAGTTACTTTTATTGTCAGAAGCAAACAAAAGCAATTTGAAAAGTAACACTCACAATGTCATGTTACTCTAAATCAGCAGTCATTGCCTGACAGGACTGGAAATCAGCCTGGAGAGTAACTGAGTCCTGTTATCTCAGACTCTTATTTCTAAATAGCTGCCGAGGGGGTACCATGTGAAACGTGTTAAAAGCAGGGAGTTCTGCTCTTTAGTTTCAGGTGCAGGAAGGAACAAAGCCAAGAACCTCTAGCCTGCTATCCCAGTTAGGAGACACATGCTCGACGCATCTCAACGTTTGGATGTAATTTGAGACCTGTTATATGCACCTCTCTCCTAAATCAACAAATACAGTCTCGCTCTTTGTCATTTCATCTGCCTATTTTTAAATATTTCACTTTAAAGTTTTTTGGTTGTCAGTACTTTTGGGCCTCAGTGGGATAATCCCCCAGAACATGGAGGAAATAGGTGCCCTAAGGTGCCCTCTGCATGTGAGACCAGAGTCAGAGCTCACGGGTCTGAGCATATGTGTGCAAAGTCACCCAAGGGAGGCAGACTTGGGTCTCCTGGCAGGGCCGTACCCGAGGCATTACAATGGTTTGACAGGAAATATCTGGTGTTTAGGAGTGTCGGGAAGGTGGCCATTGAATCACTTCAAGAGGCAAATAACAAAGAGAATTCTCAAGATTAACTTCCAAACTCTAGCCTCTCTGACTCCAGTTCCAGGTTCAGCACAATTTTCTTAAAACCACATTTCCTCCCTTCTAAAGTGGAGAGTATAACAATACCCGCTGGGAAATATTGCTGTGGTAGTTAGATGAGTTGATACACATGAACAAGCTTTAGAAGCTGTCAGGTAAACAGAGATAAAGGATTGTCCACCGGGCTTTTGTGCTCTGGACTATGACCTCTGGCCCATAGGCCACTAACTGCCACACGGCAGTGCCATTCCCTCAGGTTGACCCTCAGGGAGCCTGCCCACCCCTGCATTCACCGAGAAGTTTGTTTTCTCATTTGAACTTGAGAACAATAATCCAAAATCAATAACCAGACCTAAAACCAGTAGCTACCAGTCACAAGTAACTTTAATTGGTCTCTGCAATGCTAGCATTTGTCTTTCATTTAAATCCCCGAGTAAATCTGCGGGGGGCTCCATCCTTGGGCAGTGCAACACAGGCCAGCAGCACAGGTGTGAAGAGTCTGTCAGGACTCAGTTCAAATCCCAGCTCTGCGAGCTAGTATCTGGCCTATTTATATTTTTTAAAAATTTATTTTATTCATTTATGCGTACAAGAGCTGGGGTGTAGGCCAGAGGTGTGTGGGGGTGTGTGAGAAGATTCACCAGAGACAGAGTGGGGAGCAGAACAAACAGATCTCCTGAAATACACTGCAGAGGGAAGCAGTGGGTGAGACAGGTAAGGTCTGCTGTGCCATGTGGGTAGCTCCCTGGCCGGGGATTGATCTTGTGCTGCAGTGGCTGCTGATAGCTTCATAGTACCTAGACTTAACCCCTGTGCCACCAGGGAGGGCCCCTGACCTACTGTTTTTTTAAGTCTTGGAGTTCTGTCTGAGTTATAAAGTTTGCATAATACTGTAAAATACAAGATTTTCCATGAATGTTACTTGTGTAATATCAACAGCAATATTAAGCCCCTATATAAAAAACAAAATCTGAAAGGGATTTTTTTTTTTTACAGATAGTGGCCATAAGCCCAGCTGACATCTGCTACGAGGAAACATTATCAACATTAAGATATGCTGAAAGGTACATTAATGAATATTTATCATCCACAATGTTCTAAATTCTAAACCTGGCAAACTCTTCTAGTCTTCTAGCCCTATACTTGGTGGGTTGGCATTTTGGGGAGGGCTCCAAGGGAAGGCAGAAGAAAATGATTTGTAAGAGAGGAGTGAGGAGGCATGAGACAAGTAAGAGGAGCAAGAACTGAGGACTCAGGGTCCTCCTGAGCTGCCATTCTGTAGCTGCAGTCCTGGATGGGAGAGGAACATGGACTCCAATCCATGGGTAGGAAGACCCAATGCCACTCCTGATGTGGTTAATAACTGTAATCCCTGTATGTTCCTGCCAAGTAGCGTGGCCATTCACAGCTCCCCCCTTATGTCACATGGGTCATAGGTAGAGAATAGCGCAAGCAAGAGTTCTGGGTAATGAAGATGAGTGTGTAGGAGGCGACCCCCCGGGGTGGGCAGCCATTCACCAGCTCTAGAGCTTCCCCTGTGCTAAGCCCCACACAGCAGGAGAAGGCCAGAGAGTCATCGGTGTCTCTTCCCAGGGAGGGGCTCTCAGGCACCTTCCCTTCGGGCTGGCAGGGAAGTGAGTCACTGTGCCCGCACGATCTGTCCTTTCAACATGGGCATCGGCAGCCCGACCCAAGCTGCTTCTCCTGACCCTTTTAAGAAGGGAAGGGTGTGAAGAGTGGCAGATCCACTCTAACCAGGGGTAGAAACCACATGCCACCCCTCCCTCCTACTTGCAGGGCAGACATTGAGAAGTTGCCTCTGCAGCACCCCCTTTAGGGCCAGACAAGAAATTGGGGACCTGTTTTCCAGGACATGACTTGTCCCACAAAACTATATTACTATCTGATACACCATTTGTCAGGTGTATTGTCAGCTCTGCTTTGGTCAGGATCTGCTACCAGCTGTGTGCCCTGCACCCCCTAACCACCAGTTACTCACACACGAAGAGACAGTACCTCATTCAGAGCTGGGGTGAAGACCATGTGGGGTCACAAGCCACTCCTGGTAAAGTTCTGCCTGGATTATAGTTGATGCTCAGAAGTGGCAGTTATCTTGCCTCCCAGTGCTCACCTGGCTTGTCCTTTTTTGTTCTCAGGGAGGGAAGCTGCTGCATTTCAGTGGCAGATACTTGCTTTCTTGTTCTTCACTGTGCAGCCTCAAGACCACTTTTCACACCATTAGATGTTTTCCTCCACCATCTTCTCCACAGTCCAGATCTTTGTGTTGAGTTTTTCTTTAGTGATATCTAGAAATTTGTTTTTTTTCAGCTTGTGCAAATCTGTAAAATGCTAGCACTCCCACTGTGTGATACAGAAGAAAGAGAAAATGGTACCTGAAGTCCCAGACTTGCCATGGGCTGTGTGACTTGGGGCAAGTCTTGTTCCATTAGTCTCCACTTTGTAAGATGAAAAAAGCAATGTCGACAGATTTAGCAAATAAAAATATAGGCTGTCCAGTTACATTTGAATTTCAGATAAAGAACAAGCATATCAGGGGCTGGATTCCAGCTTCTGGGCTACAGAAGTCACAAAGTCCCTTTTGGCCTTAATGGCTTCGTGGAACCTGATGTGGTGGAATCTGGAGTCACCTGAATGAAAGGTCCCCACTTTGACCTTTTGAGGTCAGAACAGGCCTGGTTTCTGGTCCGTGCTGTGGTGAGGTTTCCACAGCCACACAGAGCCTGAGTGCGTGTTCATCTCTGCACATGAAAGGGCTAAAAAGATCCAGAACAAAGCCGTGGTCAACACCTCCACGCTGAGGAGACAGTCAAAGGAAGAGAACAACAAGCGGCTACCTGGAAGCGGACACTCCAGAATTGCAGGTAAACTGAGTCGGGAGTCAGCACTGAGTCCCAGCCAGCTGCAAGAAGGCGGGGGAATGGCTGGCACAGGGCTGGGGCCGGGCCCTAGTGACTGGGCACCACCAGACCAACTGCATCAACCACTGGGGAGTGACGGTTCTTAAAGTTTCAGGAAATTCTACTGACCAAGACCCAGTACTTTGAGCTAAGGCCTCAGATTTCATACGGGCATGAGGGATATGATTCTATGCCCATTCATAAATTAGAATGGGATGGATGAAAGCTATAAAAAGTAGCTGAAGTAAGACTGATAACGGTATTCAGTATCCAAACAATAATACCAAAAGGCTCCAAACCTCTTGTGCTCAGTGTGCTTTAACAGCTGTCACCTGCCTGCCCTCCCCAGGAGGCATCTCGCTCCAGAGGGACACAGAAGCGCGGGCAACACAGGCAGCCACGCATGCGTGTGCACAGACAGGAGCTGCCCGGATGGATGTCCGGCTCCGGGTGGACTCCACCAGGCCTAGCTCAGGCCACCACATCCTGGCTCGCTAAGGCATCAGCCTCAACAGGGCACTTCCTGAGTAGAGTAGGAGCCTGTGCCAGTCCAGACGTGGCTCTGGCCGGTCACCAATCTCTGTCAGGTGAAAAACTGGACGTGCAGGTGTGGGTCAAAATATTGTATCTCGTCCCCATTGTTCATAAGCACAGACACAGACTAAATGAAAAATAATGTAGGATAAATCTTTGATTCCTCCCAAATCCCATTCTCTATAACAATGTTATAAATCCAAACACCCTCACATGCCTACACACAAAAATAAATACTGAGCTTCATGTCTCCTATAAAACATCACTTGCTTTAGTTTCTTATAAATTAAAAGCAGCGCTCTTCTTTGAAAGCTTATCCCATCCTGTCTTTTTCACACATAAGAGCAGTTCTAGCTCCCACGCCCATGGGAATCCCTTGTGGCTGAGTCATTGCAGTTAGACCAAGAGGAGCATTTATCCTGGGCCTCACCTTGCAGACCTGTGGCTTGAAATGCCTCCCTCCTTCTAGAGCACCCAGGCTGTCTGCTGGCACCTCGCGGGCTGGGGCCTCACTCTCATGAGATGACCTGGGGGCACCAGCTGGAGCAGGCGTGGAGAGAGTGGCAGGCTCAGTGCGTGGCCATTGCTCAGGTGAGCTGCTCTCCCTGCACCCGCGCAGGCCGGCCGCCTGGTAGGCCGCCTCACTCAACCAGACACGGCGCCGCTGGCAGGGGGGTAGTCAGGATGAGGTGTTTGTGCGGTTAATGTGTGATATGTGAAATATGGCATGTGACATAGGACGGACAGTACAATTACTGGCAGAGTCAGGAGAGAACAGCAGGGCACATGGGGGCAGGAAGCCGAGAGGGCTTGGTGTGTCTCGTCGGGCAGACCAGAGGACAGAATTCAAGGCCTTGATCATTAGGATCTAGGGAGTATGTAAGGCACCCAGGTTTCCTTCTGAGGACTGTGCAGTGTGGCCCGGAGCCGTGGTATCCTGGCGTTCACCGCCAACCCCAGATCATAAATGGGCTGTGATGGGACTTTCATTCCTCTCTCTGCTGCTGCCAGCCACACCCCCACCGTGGTCTTACTCCACGAGTCAAAAGACTCTGGACAGTCCCCAAAGTCATGGGTAGACGCGGCGCTCATGGGGAGTGGTGGGAGAGGTCCAGTCTGGGTTCTGAAAAGCTCAGTGAGCCTGGAATAGATGCGAGCCCAGGCAGTGGCGGTGGAGCGGGAGGGAGTGCGGCAGCAGGAGACTGGATGACATTAGGGACCAGGCATTCCAGAGGTGTGGAGGGCATAACAGGGGCTCATGCAGCAGCCAGAAATGCCATTCAAGTAAACCTTTCTATGCAAGGGGTAGCTGGGCTGGGCTGCTTAGCAGCAGGGGTCAAGTAGGAGTCAGACAAACACATGAGCACAGGATTTTGTGTTCCATATGAGCAACAGCTACTGGAAGGCGTGTTATGCCCTTTCTTCTTTATCAGAACTTCAAACTTTAAATGCTTTCCTTGTGTCTAAGTAGTTTATTCTGGTTCTGTTTGACTCTCAACCCTCTGTGAGCAGTACCTGTGCATTAAAGGATGTGTGCACTTGGGTGACCAGGAGAGGGCGCTGCAACGCGCCGCCTTTCGCTACCAACATCTGCTTGCCAATGAGCTAGCCAGCCGGGCTTGGGGACAGTGAGATGCAGGGTTGCAGGATTAACGGAATGGAGACCCGGGGGGAAGCACCAGAGTAGGGAATCCAGACTGCCGGATACACCAGGAACATGAAGAAAATGTTAGGGGAGAAGTCGGAAGGGAGGCATAAAACAAGGGCAGCTGAGAAGGAGGAGCAGCGTCGGAACTGGCAGGGCTTTGGGAAGGTCCTGTCCAGAGGCACGCAGGCCCCTGACGGCTGATCGGCCCTAGATTTTGCTCCTGCCAAGGGCGAAGCCCCTGTCCCGCTCGACTTTCCTGCCCTGGGTTTGCTTCACTAGTCGGTTTGACAAGTGGGACAGATAAATGGTTTTGATGAGAAGTCGTGGGAAAGGAACTTTGCTCTCAAATGTGCTGCTGACTGGGACATGAACCTCTGGTCTCCCCTCCAGGAGCGGCGGCTGATGAAGGCCTTCCCTCACCTGCTCAACGTTAACGAGGACCCGCAGCTCACCGGGGTTCTCAAGTACATCATCCACGCTGGTACTCACCCTTCCTGCCCACGAACCTGTTTCTTAAATTTTTTTTAAGATTCATTTATTTACGCATACAAGAAACAGGGTACAGGCCAGAGGTGTGGGGGGGGCGGTGAGAGGATGCACCCGAGTCAGAGTGGGGAACAGAACAGGCAGACTGACTAAATCCACTGCTGAGGGGAGCAGTGGGCGAGACAGCAGAGTCTGCTGTGCCACATGTGGGTCGGCTCCCTGGCGGGGGATCGAGATCGTGCTGCAGAGGCTGCGGACAGCTCCACAGTGCTGTGCTTAACCCCTCGCCATCAGGGAGGCCCCTCTTTTTAATTTATTTTAGGTGGGGTGAAACATACACAGCATGCAATATACCACATTAGCCACTTCTAAGCGTGCAGTGCAGGGACATGAACTACATTCACGTACTGGGCTGCTGTGCCCCGCTGCATCTCCAGCGTTTCTCATCTCCCAAACTGAGCCCTGTACTCATCAGACAGTAACCCCGCGTCTCCTCACCTGGTGCCTGGCACCCACCATCCTACCAGCTCGCTCTAGGGACTTGACTGCTCTGGGCACCTCATGTAAGTGGATCCTACAACAGCTGTCTTAGCATCATGTCCTCACGTTTCACACATGTTGCAGCATGTGTCAGAATTTCCTTCACTTTAAAGGCTGATTAATAACCCTGGGCACACCCAACACATGGCTCAGCCGCTGCAGTGGGGCTGGGGGGCTGCTCTGCCATGTCCTCAGGGACAGTCACGGCTCAGAAACAGATTCCCACACCAATTCCTTCATCGTCCAGGCTTCAGGGCACCCCCCTATGGCCAAAACTCAATACTTCCTCCCTCCAGAATTCCCATGAAGAAAGGTGGAACTTTAGAAAAGTTAGGACTCGCACACGAAAGGCAGAAAGTAAAACAAGGCAGGCTCGAGCACCGCTAAGACTGACACCTCAGTGGGAAGATCCCTTCCCATCATCCTGTTGAAGAAGAAAGAGCACTTCCCAAACACCAGACCTGTTAGGTTTCTAAGGTCCAATCCTGAAAAGAATTGAAAAGAAATGATCATAATTTTTTTCCAGGCTCAAGCGATGCTGGTCAGGCTTCTTCGAATGCCATCACCCTTCAAGGTTTAGGGTGAGTCTTTGTCCAGTATGAGAGGAGCATGATCACGTAATCAGGGGATATTCTCAAAATTCACCTGGTCACATCAGGCCAGGCTGCGGACGCTGCTGCACAGCCAAGCGCACGCCTTCCTCAGCGGCCCAGGCTGGCACACTCGGAGGGAAGTTCGGGAAGGGCTTTCCTTCTCTCTCTGAAATCCCTTCTGCAGCGCTCACTTTGCCTCGTTGGCTCTGATCTTGGTACAGGAAGGAAAGTCAGTTGCTAGACTCTGCATAATTCTTCACAAGATGTAGCAGCCTCTGACCGGGAAGTGAAGAGAGTGGCCTCCATCTGGGGGTGGATGCACTCAACTGGAAAGCCGGGCGGGTGCTCCGTGGGCAGGCTGCTTCGTAGCCCCAGAGCTGTCTCCACACCTTGGCGGCCCCTCCTCAGGGTTCTCCCTCCTGCCTCCAGGACCACTGTGTCTTGACTAGCCACAGATTTCCAGCCAATAGGCTTGCCCAGCTCTTACAGAGAGTGGTCTTTAGTATACAAATCCAAACAAATAAAAGATTCAGGGCCAGATGTGAGCAATGTCAGACCAGTTAGCCCAGAGTGTCTCCGCTGTTCCCAAGCCTCCCAAGTCAAGGCTCCTGGAGTTGTGGCAGGGGGAGGGGAGGGGGTAGAGCTGACTTAGGGTCTGCTGGTACCCTGCACTGCCAGCTTCCAGGCTCCTGGACCTCTTGCTTCTTTCCCCTCCCCTGCATTTCTGGACCACTTCCTGCGAAGACCCTCACTCCAACACATGGGTCTGTAAATGGCTGAGCTCCAGATAAATTGAGATTAAAACTAATGCCATGGGAATCCTAGACCTCATGCAAACAAGGGATATGGGTGAACATGTGTTTCAACATCCAGAACATTCCATAACAATCAGAGTCCTGGAACATTCTAGAACAGTTATGGACCTGGCCATTCATGCCATACAGATGATGTATAGGGAACAGTCAGGCTGCTACCTCTCACATCTGGCCCTAAATCTTATCTAAAGTTTCGATTTGTGTACTAAAGACCCAGAAACAGATGCAAACCTCTCTGAAATACATAAAGCTCATTACCAAGTCCCATTCCCAAATGCCTCTTCTGAAATATCTTTTTAAATTTTCTTCATTTCCCTTCCACTCAGTCCCACTGGTCTGTGGGCTTTGAGGTCTCTCACTATGACCCCTGCATCTCCTGGCTCCTTGCAGCTCTCAGCACCTGGTAGGTGCTGGGTCTATTAATGAAATAATGACTTTATGTCTCCCAATGTCACATGCAGGGCCACCCCCTCTGAGCCACGCCCCAGCCCTGTGCAAAGGCTTCTTGCCACTTCTCAGCAGCTGCGGGTCTAACTTAATTAGGTGAATGAGAAAAAACAACCTAAACTGTTCACCGAAATGGTAATTTAACTGGTCATGCAGATAAGTTGTCTTTTTAGAATTTCAGATAAACACGCTTCCTTCACAAATTCAGATGGTAAAGTGACAGTCACTCCGCACAGCAAATGCAGGGTTGCCGTTAACGGAGTGCCCATCACCACCACGACGAAGCTGCAGCATTTGGTAAACTTTCCTGCTGGATCTTAGAATTTCCTGTCTGACCTAGGAGAGAGCTAGAGTGAAGGCTGGGCAGGGCTGGGTGCTACCACCCCGTGTCCCCTGCTGCGGTGACGTTCTAATGACAGGGTCACAGCTGTGCAGCCAGGGGAGGTCTGGTATTAATGACCTCATGTGTGTTCTTGGGCAAATCATTTCCTTTCTTGGGACCTCACTTATAGAAAGGGTGAGCTAGGTGATCCCCAAGATCCCATCCACCTCTACCATTTTATGACATTTCATGTCACAGCACCTTGCAAACACGGACCTCCTGCCACCCCCTCCCTGCCACCTCAGCTGGGACCCAGCACCGCAGGGGCTCCTTCCAGCCTCCTGCAGTCCTATCCTCTCTCCAGAGTCTTTTTTTTTTTAAAAAAAGATTTATTTATTTATGCGTACAAGAACCGGGGTACAGGCCAGAGGTGTGGGGGGTGAGAAGATTTACCAGAGAGAGTGGGGAGCAGAACAGGCAGATCTACTGAAATACACTGCTGAGGTCCCCAGGGTATTCTAGATAAGCAAACTGACCAGCTCGCTCCCTCCTTCAAGTCCTCAGTGGCCTCCCTTTCAGAACACCCACCTCACTGCTCCTCACATTTCTCCTGGTCACACTGATCTCTTAGTTGCTTGAAGCATCCAAGCTTTGTTGGGAAGCAGCCTTCTCTGCCTCTCTAGAGTTTTCCTCACTTGAAGTTTCACCTCAAGAGTGCACCTCTGCGGGAGACCTCTCTAGTCCCTGCGTCACCCAGGCCCCCTGTCCTCTGCAGAGGCAGCACCTTTGTCCTGCTGGTGTCTCTCCAAGCGATGGTTGCCTCCTTAATCCACCTCCTGGAGGAGAGGATTGGGTCTCTGGTCCCCACTGCTCCCTAGTGTCCTGAGGAGTCAGTGCTCCTGTTGACCGCAGGGAGAAATAAGTGAAAGCAGGTGCACAGAAGCAAGACCCAGCCCGTCCTCACCATGGTTCTTTCCCAGCACTCGTGCTCGGGGGAGTCCTATGAGGGGCGCATCCTGAGTCCACCGTCTGCTCCTAGGACCGCATCATCTTGGGGCCCAGCAGTGCCTACCTCTACGTTGGGTTTCCTTCAGAACGCGGCAGCGAGGACTTGAGCAGGTTCGACTACGACTTCTTCCAGCAGGAGAGGGCGGCCGCAGAGGGCGTGAGTGTGGACAAGCTCGGTAAGCAGCTCCGGGCTCCCGACTCGGCTGTCCTCGTGTGCAGACGTGAAAGCAACTGCTTTCCCTGGGTGCTCTCCTGTTGCCTTAAAAATGATCTTTTATTGTGTCAAAGCACATCCAGGAAGTTGAAATGTGATCTCTAAACACAGAGGGACACGTGCCAAACAGTTTGATTCACTAGGCTGTTTCCCCCAGTCACGGTAAAGATGGCCTCGGGCCTAGGGGATACTGGCCGGTCGCCCACGGAGGCAAGAAATGGGATTATTGCTGCGTCCGGAAAAGCGAGTGAGTGGCCAGTGATTGACCAGGCAAAGGCCACTGTAAATTCCTAATCTTTTACAAATTAACATCTCAGAGCTGGGAGTGCAGGCCTGGTTAACAGTAAGTAGACAATGGTCATTCTCTCAGGAAATTCTAGACTCCTTCCTTTCACGGCTGGGCCATGGCAGTAAAAAACAGTTATCCTTGCACTTTTTTTTTTTAAGATTTTATTTATTTTTATGTAGAAGAACTGGGGTGTAGGGCAGAAGTGCAGGAGGTGAGAGGATTTACCAGAGACAGAGCAGGGAGCAAAACAGGCAGATTGACCAAAATACGTGGCTGAGGGGAGCAGCGGGCAAGTCCGGAGAGGTCTGCTGCGCCATGTGGGTCACCTTCCTGGCCAGGGATCGAACTGGTGCTGCAGTGGCTTCGGATAGCTTTACAGTGCTGAGACTTAACCCCTGCACCACCAGGGAGGCCCCTATCCTTCCATCTTGTTTCTATGTTTTGGATGATTTCTTTTTTTTTAAAGATTTATTTATTTATTTATTTATTTATACAAGCACTGGGTACAGTCAGAAGCGCGGGAGGGTGAGAGAATTCACCAGAGCCAGAGCAGGGAGCAGAGCAGGCAGACTGACGAAACACACTGCTGAGAGGAGCAGTGGGCGCGGCAAGAGAGGTCGGCACGCCATGTGGGACCCTCGCCAGGCAGCCGGGGATTGAACCAGTGCTGCAGAGGCTGCGGGCAGCCTTGCAACCCCGCGCTCAACCGCTGCACCACCGGGGAGGCCCAGAAGTCCTGTCTTTTAAACGAATAAACATTTTGCAGGGAGAGATGGTGGCATGTTGGTATCTACCTGTAACATGTTGATATCTATATGTCACATTTTTAGCCACTCATTTATCATCCCTTGATCGTTCTTACTTGGATTAATTATTATGATAATTCTTGTCAAATGGTGAATTTCTAGCTCCATCGTTTCTGCTACATTTATTTGAAGAAATTCTATTATAAGAAGTTTTCTTCTATTCATCATTCATTGAATTACTCATCAAATAACTACATTTTAAAGTCATAAGCATGTAATTAAAAGAAAAAAGCTAAGTAGGTGGAGAAAAAACACACTTCCTGACTTTTACTTCAGTAGTTGATCATCTCAACCCACAAATCTTTCTTTTCTGTTTTTAGATTTTTTTATTTTTTTAAACAATATTTGCTTCCCCCAACCCCTTCAGGTTGAGTCCCCATAGAATTTCCTTCCCCAAGACACCCACGCACCATCACCTCAGTCCCCTGTGCTCCTCCCTCCCTCCGTCTCTCTAATCCCTTTCCCTCCTCCTCCCCTGCAGGATGTCTCTCATTTATAATTGTCTGTTTTTGCTTTGTTGTGTTTTGTACTGTTGTTATTTTTTTTATGCTGATGTCTTATTTGGTTACCCTATATTTCTGTTGTAAGTGAAACCATCTGATATTTTTCTTTTTCCTTCTGGCTTATTTCACTGAGCATAATTCCTTCTAGCTCCATCCATGTTGCTGCAAATGACATGAGTTTATCTTTTTTGATTGCTGAATAGTATTCCATTGTGTATCTATATCACATCTTCTTGATCCAGTCATCTATTTTTGGGCATTTGGTCAACCCACAAATCTTGGTAACACCCCAGTGCAAGTGACTGACTTCAGTCTGATTTTTCCCCAGGTGCTGTGAGCAAAGGCGATGGGAAAGCAGACCCCAGTGTCTTGGCTGCATTCCAGGACTACATCAAACTGATGCCGCTGGTTGCAGAAGCAAATCAAATGAGTGAGGAGCTAAAGAAGGTAAAAGCTGAAAAATGGTATGATGCCAGGTCTGGAAAGAACCTTGAGAATCAGTTGTGACAGACCTTGTCTGACACCCAACCTTTCCAGTTCCAGCCATTTTGGGTCCACTGTGGTCACTAAGACACCCCCCCCCCAATCCCTAAGACTCCAGACCATCACTTGCTCCCCATAATCACCCATCCCAGACAACTCTCCAAAGGGGTCTCTTTGGGTCAGTCCTGGGCTGGGTTTGGCTCCCTGGAACCTTGTAAGAGACTTGGTCACTTTAGTAAGAACTATACATGTAATTTCTGGGATATTGATAAATAAAATGCTGATGCTTTATCATTTCCTTTGGGGGAATTCCAAGGAGCAAGAATTGGACCATCTTTTTTCTTAAAAAAAATATATAATTTTTTCATTGGTTTACAACATGATATGATTTAGGGGTGTAGGTTCACACCTCTTCAGATGTATGTTACTGTCATAGGAATCTGGGTCTAGCTACTTACTGCTCATAAGCCAAAACTCGGGATACCCGGGGAGCCGATGAACCCTTGTCTCTACAGCCATCTCCCTAACTGGGGAGAAGCAAGGCCTTATATGGGGTAGTAATAAGTAAAGGGAAAGGCGAACGTGTCTGTATTGCCAGGATTTCAGGAAAATAGTTGAGGGTCTCCAGGGACTATATTCAGGCCCCTTTTCTTCCAAGTTTGGTCTTGACCAGATCTGCCGCGGTGCTGGTGGGTGTGCTTTGCACTATGGTCATGAGGTTTGGCTTAACCCTGGTCTTACTTCTACCTCCATCTTGGTCTCAGCCAGTCTTGCCTGTTTTTCTCTGGTTTTGTCTGCAAAATGATAAACAGCTGCAGAGCAAGAATGAGCAATGCAAGGATGAGAAACACATGATTATTAGGCCAGTAACAATCCCCTCCTCTGTATCTGCTCCTCATTCTTGAGGGGTGATGGACAAAGGTTTGTCTTTTGTAACTGCTTCCTGCTTGAAGGGGCAGGAGTTTGGGGTGCCCATAGAAGAGCAGAATCTTCCCCTAGCTAACTTCAGCTATAACTGGTTGTTGCAGGGTTATATTCCAATTATTTATACCTTCGAGTTACAATTATTCATAAGTTTTAATGTCTCCAGCCTTTTGGAGACTAAGGGGTCTAATTCAGGAGACAAGGCCCAAAGGCCAATAGCATTAAGCTTATTATAGCAACCACGGCCCAGCCATTCAAACCAATTAGAAAAGACTTTCTTTATAATAGGAATTCAAGGCCAGGATTCAGTGTTTTTTCAGGGTGTCCTGTCCCTCCTCCTCTTCTGGGTAGCCCCTTCTTTTTCTGCATTTTCAGTTCCCAGCAGGCATGAGAACACAGCTCAATGCGGTCTTCATTTGCTCAGGATGTCAGATAAACTGCATCTGTAAGTACAAACCTTAAAGAGGAAATTCAGACAATTTCTTTTTCTTTTGTGTTCTTTAAGGTCTGAAAGAAAGTTAACTATTTAGTCTCTGATCCATTACCATGCCACACCCACCACTAAAGCACCAATAATCTTCCACCGTAGTCCATCGGGCTCTCTCTCCCCTGTGCTCCTCACCCCTGCGACACCCCTTTGGTAGCCTCAATTCTACAGTCAGGCTTCTAGGGTTTATTTTTGTTTAGCTATGTCTGTTACTTTGTTTTGTTTATTTATATGCCACATATGACTAAAATTTTCTGGTATTTTTCTTTCTCCTTCTCACTTTTAGCGTAATCACTTCTAGCTCCATTCATGTTGTCACAAATGGCAAGAGTTCATCTTTTTTATAGCCGAGTAGTATTTCGTTATGTATACATGACACATCACTTAATCCACTCATCTGTCCTTAAGCACTTAGTTTGTTTTCATGGGTTGACTATTGGAAATAGTGCTGCAATCAACAAGGGCATGCAGATGTCCCGTCAAATTAGTTTTAGTGTTTCTGATCTTATAGTAGAAACCTCGGAGTGGAATTGCTGGATTGTATGTTCCATCTTCTTTTAGAAAGCGTTTGGAGAGAATGAAAACAAAAATGCCAAAATGGTAGAAACTGATAAATGGAGGATTATTTAGTGATAAATGTTTCTCTTCCAGGGACTTAAAATGGAATTGAAAGTGAAGAATTTAGCATCATCAGATTCCAGGGGCTGTGACCTACAAAAAGAGGTCATGGTGAAGGTGACCAACCAAATGACTCACGAGGTGAGGCTTTCTCTGAGTGGGCATGAGCCTCTCCAAGGGGTCCTCAGTTTTCTTGAGCACACAGGTTAATTGTCCCGTGGAAACCCAGCAAAGGGGTGCGATGTTCCAAGTGTGAGCTGGGATTCTGGGGACAGACTTTATGTAGAGGAGGATGTTCCCCATGGGCCCCTTCCTGGGCCTCCCCCACCCAGTTCTCAGCTCCTGCCTAACCACCAGCATCGAGCACTTTCAGTTTCCTCTTAACATGACTCAGAGGTTTTAGTACCGGAAGGGACCCTGAAAGTGTATCCAAGTGGCAATGGTGTCCTTGTGCACGTGCATGCCAGCGAGATCTGCCACTCTGCACAATAAGAAAATCCACACTTGCATTAAGATTCCTACAAAGGCCGTTTTGCGAGCTACACTAGCTGATGCACTCCCATGTTTGACATGACTCCCAATCGGGAAGGTCCTGCTTGGGAACTTAAGACACCTTTCCTTTGACAGAAAAGAGTAGGCTTATATTTTGATGTCCCAAATTCATATTGTTCCTTTGGAGCAGCCCCAGACTTCCACACCAGCCAAGTGCTCGCTCCTTAGCCCCTCCTCAGGGGATGTTCCTTAATTCCCTCATTACCCTGGGAGGGCTGCTCCCTCCCAAATCTCTGTTTCTGTCTCTCTGTCTCCCTCTGTCTCTCTCTGTCTGTCTGTCTGTCTGTCTGTCTGTCTCTCTCTCTCACACACACACACACACACACTCGCTGCCTCCCCACAACCCCTTTACCACTGAGTCCTGGGTACACTTCAGCAGTCCTTGCCCAAAGCTGTCACTCAGATGAAAGCATTCCAGCCAGGGAATTGATCCTGCGCCCCGCCTGTCCCACACAGCCTCCTCCTGACCTGCAAGGGTGGCAGCACATTTACTTAGAGGGGCCTGTGGCCTATGATAAGTAATGAGACCGAGGACTGGTTTCATGATCTTGATTCCCACTATCTTAGTTCCCTCACCTGGGGGCCTTATAAAAAGTGAAAAAACTCACTAGGATTCCTCTTGGACTCTGCAGCCCATTCTTGTGTCCCATCTGGTTCTTAGTCTTTGACTCTTCTAGGAGAGGAATGATGTGCTCCTTACTTGAGGCAAATAAACAAGAATGAAATCTTTTGGGCCTCCCTGCTGGCGCAAGGGGTGAAGCACCACACTATGAGGTTACCTGCAGCCTCTGCAGTACGAGTTTGATCCCCAGCCGGCCAGGAGCAACCCACATGCCGCAGCAGACGTCTCCTGTCTCGCCTGCTGCTCCCCTCAGCAGTGTATTTCAGTCAGTCTGCCTGTTCTGCTCCCCACTCCATCTCTGGTGAATCCTCTCACACCCCGCATCTCTGGCCTGTACCCCAGCTCTTGATGCATAAATAAATAAATCTTAAAAAAAAAAAAGAATGAAATCTTTTTAGCATCTGGAGGATGTCCTTTTTATGAAGATTCACTAACACTCAGAAAACAAATGATTTGCCTGTTTGTTTTGTTTTGTTTTGTTTTTCCCCAAGTTGCTCAGAGGAGTTGCTGGTTTTCCATGGTGATCACTTCTGACGTGGTGTCAATGGTCAGGACACTTTCCGTGTAACTTGAATCCCCTGTGCTCTGGCTTCTCCCAGCAGCCAGTGCTGATAAAGAGACCCTGCCCCTCCCTGTCCTGGAGTTTCTGCTCACAGGGTGTGTGCGCCCGTTTATTGTCACAGCTCTGTAGGGGAAGGGTCTGAGGTGGACCTCACTGGGCTAATGGCAAGGCGTTGGGAGGCTTGCTTGGCTTTCTGGGTTGGGGGGAGTTGGGGCAGATTCTGTTTGCTTGATTTCTCACCTTTTGAGGCCTCCAATATTCTGTTACTTGTGGCCATCTTTTTGTGCCCACCTGGATAAACCAAGTTAACCTACTTATTGTCATATCAGCCGATAGGCAAACTTAGTTCCCTTTCGCCCCAGGTCCCGGAGACTAGGACGTGGACATCTTTGAGGGTCATTCTTCTTGCACCTCAGTCCCAAACCTTCATTTCTCCTGGGAGGGTGTGATTTCTGTCTCCTCCACTACCTCCTCTGAGTCACTTCCTGGCCTCCGGCAAGTGAAGAATGCTGAAATAATAGCTCCAGGAATGAGTATGGGGCTCTTAAAGGACCGCACATAGCCGGTATGATATGTTACGTGGCCTTAGGGTCCCAAGACCCACCTTATCAGAGCAGCGTGCTTGGGGGGAAAAAAAACATTAAAAGGAATTGTTAGGGCAACAACATGGATGAAATCAAGTATTAGTGACCTGCCTTTGTGTTTCCAGGTGTGGATCTGGTCAAAGGCCAAGTTTATCAACAGGAGATTCCTAATGGAGGAAGTCTACCAGCGTTTTCTAGATGGAGAAGACAGCGGTGTGGCGCAGCAGGATGACCCTTTCTGGGATCCCATTGAGGCCATCCCCTTGGGCTCGGCTCACATCTGGCTTCAGGCGCTTGCTTACTGCATGAAGCTAGAAGAACAAGTGGAGTTTCTGAACTGCGATGGACTGGATGAGGCAGTGCTGTGTATCCATATAATGCCCTGCTCCCCGACAGGACAGTGGGTGTCTCCTTATCTCTCTGCCTAGTTCTGGGTCAGTCACACATAGCAAACTCCTGGAGGAGGTGGTCTACTTGGGACTCTAAAGATGTCATTCATGGTGCTAATAAACGAGCTCATTCATTCATGATTTGGCCACGTCAAATCTGATCTTTGCCATGGCAGCCAAATCTGCTAAAAATCTCAAGTCCAGCTGAGCACTGCTCTGGGAACCAAGGGAATGAGGCAGGAGTAGAAGGATCCTTGAACAAGAGCTAGGAGACCTGGGATGGTTCCCAAAAATCTACCCTCAGAATAGAGAAGCAGGTGTTTTGTGGCACCTTCCACCCACACTCCCTGGCACCTGCCACGTGCAGTTCTATCCCCTGCTGCAGGCCCATTCCTGCTGAAGAGGCCCAAGGGCCAGAAGCAGAAAGCTGATTTCTGAGCTCCCTCTTTCTCTGTCCTCTATACAGGCTCTGATAGTTTCTTTGCCCTTAGTCTCAAGGTAGGAATTGAGATGTCTTTGTTTGCTTCTCTAGTTCAATCTGTGCTGCCTGCTGACCTTTGTGGCAATACAGGATCTGTTAAGTATCTCTTGAATGAATGAGTTCCATGGTTGGCAACATTATCTAGCCTTCCTTCAGTGAAACTGGTCATCTCTTAAGCCTGTACAATTCCCTATGACTTCACAACCCTGACTTGCTTAGACCCAGTGTAGCCTGTGATTGGTATTCACCTCTTCTGTTTATAGGGCATGTGGCGAGGAAGATGTGGTTATTGACCCCTTGGACCTGCTGGGCAAGAGGATGGATTTCCAGATTCACATTGTGCAGTGCCTTGGCACCAAGTGGCTAAAGGAAGATGCAGTTCGGGGTGTTCAGATGGGGTACAGATCACCCTGCACTGCTGCTGTGCACAAACCACCCACCTTATGGGCCTGGTGGGAGGCTGGTCTCCTCGCAAATATTACAAAGGGATTCCTTTCTTTAGTTTCACCCAAAAATGATTTATCCCCCATCTGTTTAATAGGGAGGAAACACATGTTCCTCCAGGTGGCTGGGCTGTGAGCAATGAGTAGTGATCCTTCTAAGTAATTGAAGCAGTACAGTCAGAAATTTTAATTATCACAAATAATTTCCAGAAAATTGTATCATTTACATAGAATTTTTTAAGTCTATGCCATATTATATTACAATATGGCAGAAGCACTAGTTATGCCTAAACTTACTAGGCTTAACGAACGCTAAAAATAAAACAATTAAGAAAGAGAGGTGTTGAGGAAGAACAAAAACCAAATAACCATTTCGGAAGGAGAATGAACAATTTTAGATTATCTGTGTAGAAAGTATCAAAGTTCTTTTCCTTTTTTCACAGACATTTAATATTACCCACGTAGTGATGATGTCCATAGTGAATTGCTGACACATTGGAGGTGGTAATCAGGAGAATCAATTACATATCATTTTTTATCAGCTAACCGATATAGGCCATATTTATTTCACTTGTCTGATTCTTTTCTTCGCAAATGTGTCCTTTCTGCTTTTAAATGATGTTTTACTTATCTTTTCTCAGATACAGAATTTATGATCTTCCAAACAATTTATATACCAAACCTGTATGGAAAATGGTGAACCCCCAAATCGAAGAGACTGTCCAATTTACAGCCTTAAATGTATCTCAGGATTTTCTGAATTATTTACAGACAAATGCTCTTATTGTTGATTTGTGGGGCCTCCAAGGTACTCTGTTTACTTCCTCTTTTGCATGAATTCTTCATCAGATGTCATGTCAGTTTACCTAGGGCTGCAGAGTGGGGAGGAGCTCAAGGACTTAACAGCAATGGCCAAGAGCCATCTCCCCCCTGGATCCCTTCCCCTGGGTCCTAGCCCACATGTGGTTTCAGTCTCCTTATACAACACTGGGCTGGACAACAGAGGTTTCTTTCTCTGATGGTGTCTTCCCTTCTCCCCTACACTACAGAAGGCTGTGTTGAGCTGAGCTGCTCTCAGGCTGACTTCATGGTCACGGGTGAAGGCCACATCATGGTGGACACCAAGAAAATTTCCACTGTGATGGATGCAGGCCAGGTGTGTACATTTATGTGATATTAAATAATATGCATGATAACTGTTTCAGGATCATCAATGTACCTTCCCCTGAACAAACTTTTTCTTACTTTACTCCTGTGTCTCTTGAGGGGTTTAAACCTTGCTCACCACATTCCTGTAAGTAACCAAGATCCTGGGAGAAAAAGCAATTTTAATGTCTAATACATATAGGTATTTTATTTAACTGCATTTCCTGAGCTTGGCCATAACATTGCCATCTAGTTTTCATGTGGTAATAAAAGTTGCCAGTCTCTCAAAGGATATGCAAATAATGCAGCAAAAGGATAAACTGACATGCTTTTTGTAGATGACATCAAACCAGGTATCAGAACTCAATCTGAAGCTGCTCAAGTTAGAACAGGAAACAGAACTGCTTCGAAACATTAACAGAGCCCTCAGAGAGGAAAATGTACTTCTCAAAGAATCACTTGGGAAAACTGGTTCTAGTCAACAAGGTGAGAGGCTACTCGTCTTGGTTGTGTAACTTTTCTCTAAACCTACATTTTGGATGTGTATTTGTCTAAGAAATGACCTTTTTAATGAATTAATTCATATTTTGTTTCATTAAAAAGAGGCATTGCTTTTTTTTTATCTCTTCCCCCTTACAAGATTTCTTTGGATGGATCCAAACTGGTGCCTGGTAAATACTGATTTAGTGGAATGCCATCAAGATAAATAAAATATTCAGACACCCGGATAAATCGATGAATAAGTGTTATCTTTTCTTTTTACCTCAGTACACAAGCCTTCCAGTATCCTGAAGATAACTGGAATGACAGCCCAACTGCCAGCAGCCAAAGAGATGAATCAAATGTACACTCAGCAAGTCAGCTGTGACAGAGAATTTGCCAAAGCTCTTAAAGTGTTCTACCAAAGCATGAGTATGGCGAGAGGACAGTTCCTCAGATTGAGGCATTATAAACTTCCCGTAAGTAACCAGGATCCTGGGAGAAAAAGGAATTTTATTTTCTAATACATATAGGTATTTTATTTAACTGCATTTCCTGAGCTTGGCCATGTGTGTGCTTAAGCAGAAGAGCCTGTAACAGTGTGAGTGTAGAGCTCTCTCAGGCCACCGTCCAGCTTTGTTCTTGCTTTTATATCTTAATGTCCATCTGGCTGGTTCTAGGTCGCCATGGTCATTGCAGGGTTGATATGCATCCACCTGATGACAGACAGAATGTACAGTATTGACACTGTACTTTAGGTTCTAGCCAGTGCAGCAAGGGAAGAAAAGCAAGATATAAAGATTGGGAGGGGAAAAATAAAAGCAATAATAACCTACATTTATATAATACTTACTAATACCTTACATATACTGTCCAATTCTCACACAACCTAAGGATGTAGGTACTGTTATTAGCCATCTGTAGTTGACAGCAGATGAGAGACACAGTATCTTGTACAAGGATCCACAACTAGTAAATGGCAGGACCAAGAGCCAAACCCAGCCACAGTCTACATACTCCCCTACTACACTACACTGCCTCTGCTATTATTCTCAGATGACATGTTTATGTAAACAGACAGTCCAAAATAATTTCTAAAATTAATAGAATTATAAAGTTGCTGGACACAAAATTGCTATTTAAAAATGAACTGCATTTGACTATAATAGCAACAAACAGGAAAAAAATTAGGAGAAAATTTTTATAATTGCATCAAATACATTAAGTTTTTAAAGTCTATAGCTAACATGAAACCGTGGACGTCTCTGAAGAAACATTTAAAATGTGTTAGACAGCTGTTAGGGAAGACCTAAGTAAGTGGAGAAACATGTCCTGTCTCCATGGCATGGAAGATTTGCTATTTTAAATCTGTCAAGTCTTCCTGCCATTCAGCGTCATCCCAATTAAGCGTAATGGAATCTGACAAGATGATTCTATAATTTAGATAGAATTACAAAAGCAAAAATGGCAAAGACAGGACTAGGAGCCCCCAAACAGTGTATTAACCCTGTTACCAAGGTTTATTTTAATGCTTTTATAAGAGACAATATTAAGGTACTGACCCCAAATTACATAATAATCAGAGGAAAAGAAGATTCACTCGGGGTTAAAGAATTGACAAATGGGGCTTCCCCGGTGGCGCAGTGGTTGAGCGCGGGGTTGCGAAGCTGCCCGCAGCCTCTGCAGTGCCGGTTCGATCCCCGGCTGCTCCCCGGCCACCAGAGGAGGGTCCCACATGGCGCGCAGACCTCTCCTGCCGCCCGCTGCTCCCCTCAGCAGTGTACTTCGGTCCTTCTGCCTGTTCTGCATCCTGCTCTGACTCTGGTGAATTCTCTCACCCTCCCGCACTTCTGACTGTACCCAGTGCTTGTATGAATAAATAAATAAATAAATAAATCTTAAAAAAAATTAAAAAAAAAAAAAAAAGAATTGACAAATGACTGAAGTGAGACTGCCGATTACCGTGGCAAGGATGGATTTTTAAATAAACTGTGCTAGGAGAACTAAGAATATATGTGAGAAAGAATGAATTTGGAGTCTTATCTAAAACTATTTCCCCCCAAATCTGATGCTTTTAGCAGAAACTGTAGGAGAATGTCTAAGAAAAAGATTTCTTAAACATGACATGAAAAACACCTGTCTTTCAAGAAAAAGATTGATAGATTCACCTATATTACAATTTTAAACTTTGGTCCAGATGCTAACATGAAGTCAAAGGGATGGGAAAAGTTATTTGTGAAATATTTAACATAATGAATATCTGAAATTAAAAACTACTTTAAAAACCAGTAAGAAAAATATAGATAACCCAATAGAAAAAAATGGTCAAAGGTTTGGAAATCAAAAAGTCCAATAAATATGTGAAAAAGTGCTCAGAAGTTCAGAAAATAGTAATTGAAATGACAATAAATTACAATCCCACCATACTGGCAAAACCTTTAAAGTCTGAAAATACCAAGTTTTGGTGTAGATATGAAGCATTAGAAATGCTTATGCAGTGGGCCTCCCCTGGTGGCACAGCGGTTAACACTGGGCTGTGAAGCTGCCCGCAGCCTCTGCAGCACCAATTCGATCCCCGGCCCCCAGAGAGGTTCCCACATGGCATGACAGACCTCCCGTCCGCTGATCCCCTCAGCAGTGTCCTCCGTCTGACTGCCTGTTCTGTTCCCTGCTCTGGCTCTGGTGAATTCTCTCACCCTCCCGCGCTTCTGACTGTACCCAGTGCTTGTATAAATAAAATACATCTTTAAAAAAAAAATGCTTATGCAGTGCTGGAGTATAAATTAGTACTACTTTATTTTTTTTATAATAAATTTTATTTTTATATTCCCCATACAATTGCAACCCCCCAGTACTACTTTAAAAAATGTTCGCCATTAACCTAAAAAAATTAAACATGCATCTACCCCAGAAGACCTGAATTCAACTCCTTCACCAGTAAAATGCTTCTGCAGAGAATTGACTCTAATGCCCTGAAGCAGAGATTTCCCACCAGCAGTTTCATTAGCATCAGAGATCTTGCTGAAAATGCCTCTTACAGGGTAGCAGCCCAGAATTACGGAATTGGAATCTTTGGGTGAGGCCCGGAATCAGTGCTTTTAATAAGCCCTCCAGATGACTCTGCCTTCAACTGAAGTCTGAGAACTATCACACTAAAGCACCCAATTATGTAATGAATTAATGATTCTTTTCTGTACATCTAGAATGGTACTAGTTATACACCATTCTTGAGAGAATTGAGAAAAGTCAAATCATTTTCTGTCCTGTGGTTCAGATGGGATAGCTGAAAATTCTGCAGAAACACTTGCATATGTGTACTGATTGGTCTTAACATTAACATCATCTTCCAAAGAGTCCCAAACTGTACATAGTATCCTTGTGCACACCCACAGGAGGCGGGTAAAGCCTAGCACCTTCTATACTGTGGAACACTATATTGCTGTCTAGAAAATGAACAACAGCTACATGAACAGGATGATTCTTGTCACCAAGAGTAGTGATGAAAACCTTCAAGTCAGAAAAGACATCTCCTGGGCCTCCCTCGTGGCGCAGGTGGTTAAGCGCCACACTGTTAGGCTGTCCGCAATCTCTGCAGCGCCGGTTTGATCCCGGCCTGGCCGGCCGGCGAGAATCCCACATAACAAAACAGACCTCTCCCTCCTGTCTCACCCGCTGCTTCCCTAGCAGTGTATTTCAGTCAGTCTGCCTGTTCTGTTCCCCGCTCTGTCTCTGGTGAATCCTCTTACCCTCCCATGCATCTGGCCTGTTCCCCGGTTCTTGTATAAATGAATAAATCTTTTTTAAAAAAAAAAAAGACACCTCCCATGTGATTCCATAAACAGTGAACAGGCTGCATTGCATAGGGCTAGTTCTAGATGTCAGGGTAGTGGTGCTTTTAGGAATGGGGAGGGGAGAGCAGGAAGAGCTTAGAGGCAGAGTCTTTTTCGAGCGGGTGTGTTCACCTTAACTGCACCTATGTGTCCATTCTGGGGCCTCTTTTGTATATGCATCTCACAATAGAAAAAGGAAGAAAGAACTAGTTAGATATAAACAAAGTTAAAATAAGTCATAACCTAGGGGGATCTATTTGTATTATTTGTCATCAAAGATCAGTGTTCAGAATATATCAATAACTACTCTTAAAAAAATCAGACATGTTGGAAAACACATTGGAAAAAATGGGCAAAATACCTGATCAGGCACTTTGGGAAACAGGAACTAAAAGGATATGGCGAGACCTACACTCTGCTCTTGGCCAGGCCCCCTCAGTGAGCGACTGCCATTGTCACCAGCGCTGGTCACAGGCATCGCGCAGCCCTTCTCTGGGATCCCTGCTCTTGTGCGGCAGGGGATGTATTGGCAACACCCAACCGATGGGAGAATCCCCACCCCCCCATGGCTATTTTTTTTTTTAACCTCAAAACTTATATAGTATTGAAAGAATATATACCATTAGAATATACACCACTCTAACCTTTAATTTTAGATTAGCTCATCAATTTTCCCTATTGGCATTAACTAAAAGGTCTTTTGGGTGCCTTCCTAAAACTTACCGCCTCTGTTAGCAACTTTCAAATGCAGCTTTCTAACCCAAAGGGAGAACACAGTGGGGCCCCCACCCTTGTACACACAGTATTTTTACTCTGATTATGTGTCTACTCACATTTTTTTCCTTCCCTTTATTTTTAGGAAGATGATCAAATGCTTCGACCATTTGTACACCAACAGTCACAAATGTTAAAGGACTTTGGGGATCTATTAGAATCCAGCTTGTGGAAACTGAAAAATGATGTTGCTCTTATAGTGAAAAAGAAGAGAGAATACTTACAGCATATCCAATAATGAGGATACACCAACTGAAAACTTTCGAACTTTGGGTGCTGATGATTATTTTTGCATCCAATGAACTTAACTTTGCTATCAGATGAGCTGTAGACTCTACATATTCAACCCATTTCCCATGTAACTGCTGTTTTTAAGCAAAACCCACCTTCAATTTACGATTAATAAAAGTGAATCTCTCCCCAGCGTGAAGAGGGGAGACATCTGCAGTGAATGGTGAGCACTCTGAGTGCTGGGATTGAATTGCTAAGGTTAAATCCTGGTTTAATCCATCATAGCAATTGTGTGATTGGGACACATGATTTAACCTCACTAAGCCTCTTCCCTTATGTTATATGGAAATAACAGTAATTTCTGGGGTACGCAGTACTTACTGTAGGTGGATACAGAAGCAACTGGTAAGCATTTGCTGTTAGTACTTTTAAACAGTTTCAAGTAAAGCTCTTTTGATGTTTCTTGCTGTCAGACCTAAAGGCAATGGTCATTTCATACCCTTCATTTTGTATCCTTGCTCTGAATAAACGTGTTATTTTACCTTTCATCTCTGCTTTATAGGTTCATTTGAAATATGTTCAATGCACTAAGCAGCATTCGTGCCTATCCTGCAGGTGGCAGAGATTAAGATTGTTGAAAGATCTCACGGGAGTTAGACAGTCTCAAAGCCAGGCTTGATTCCACAAAGAATTGATTCGTGGGCTAGAGACTCCTCACAGCAGCAGTAGTGACAATATTGACTTTCATTGAGAACTTATGTAAGTGCCAGGCACTCGTCTAAGTGCCATACATGTTAATTCACTTAACTCTCAACATAATTCTATGCACTCAGCACTTCCTTCCATTTTAAAGGCTAAATAAGAGAGGCTTGGGGGCCTCCCCTGGTGGCGCAGCGGTTGAGCGCTGGGCTGCGAGGCTTCCCGCAGCCGCTGCAGCGCCGGTTCGCCAGCGAAGGTCCCACAAAAAAAAAAAGAGAGGCTTGGCCAGGCCACTGTAAGCAATGGGCTGACTCTGCTCTGTGATCCCAATAAGCAGCTAGTCATGAGACCTGTTGCTTCTGTACAGCTTTCCTGATTTTAGAGATGATAAAAACTTTTTAAATATCCCACAAATGGTACAGTTGAGACCAAATCCTGGCAAGATGAAGCAGTTAGGATGATAATACTACCTAGAAAGATCTCTTTCTCTCTAAGGCAGACATTCTCTTTCTTCTGTATTAGCAGCAAGGGAGGTCTCCCAACACGAGTAACATTCCTGTACCATACTTCCCACTGTAGAGAAGAAATCCCATACAGGTAGTGCTGTCTTCTTTATGTAATGAATGTCACAGAACTCTGTGTGTGCGCTTCTTACAGGTTTTATACAAAACAGAAAGTCCTTTGCCTTATCTAGGGCTTTAGTGGAAAATTCAGTTAAAATAAAAAATTAAATTAGAGAAAAATTCTGCTTAGGAAGTGAAAATCAATAGAAACACATGAACTGTATCCTTAAAAACTAACGACAGGTACACAACCAGGGAAAATGAAAGACAAGCCCACTGACTAGCAGCAAATAGGACAGATCATTTAGGAAGCACATTTCTACCACTACTCAAATATTTCAATAGGTCTATACACAAAACACCATTCAATTGACAATACTTTATTATTCAACTCAGGTAACAATCCAAAATCAGTCAGTGTAGATGGGTTAAAAACTAAAAAAATGGCAAAAAGTGCAGTTTCATTTAGCAAAGACCCACACAATACATAGACTCATCAGAAAGTAAAATCCCACTCAATATCATGGCAAGGAAAGCAGCAGTAACTGCCTTACAGGAACACCAGCCTGAGTACCTCATCAAGGAATCTGTTAGCAACACAGATAGAGATACCAACCCCTCCCTCTATCACCATTATAAAAATTGACCATGAAGTCTTCAATGAAAAAGTCAATCAAGTATTAGTTCTCTCTCACAATCAATAAAATCACAAAATCAGCTAAGATTTGAAATTTAGGTAAGCTAATACAATTTCCTGCTTTTAATGTATACATATTTAGATTTGACAATCTTTTCCACCTGTAGTCAAACAGACTTACAGAAGAATTTCAAATATCAAATAAAAAATGCTGTTAATTCAGGCATTTCATAACCAGTTAATTCTTCAAATGAGTTTAGACTTCAGAGCTGCTAATGACACTAAATTCAATGCCACGTTGGCTGAGTCTGTCAATCAACTTTGTTCTGGAGAAAGCCGCTCCCGGTGTGAAGACCCCGCCCCTGAAAGGCAACAAAACAGTACACAAAGTCAATCTCCAGCCCCTTGCTCTGCTATCATAATTTGCTACAGGATTAGCTGTCTATCACTGCAGAACTCATGAAAACCTGATTCTTGATTCTATCATGGTCTTACAGGCTTCACTCCTAAAATCAGTCAAATAAGCAAGTAGTTATTACTCAAAGGAAACTAGTGCCACAGCAAAACCCATCTAGATTTGATCAAACAGTGAGATAGTTTCCACAACACTGTTGTTCAAGGGGCACACTGAGGATCAACACAAGCAATCACTGTTGTTTGTAAAGACATTCCTCAGATTCAAGAGGATGAAATAGAGTTGAGTGAAATAAATTTAGGTAATCAATTATTATTAAAGCTTAAACAAGACAAAGTGGCTAAGAAAGTTCTTTAAATGTAATGGATGACATTTATAAAATGCCAAATATTCTCAAAGGCTATGTAAATAACTGAAAAAAATTTAATTAGGTTTCACTTTATATAATTATGTTCATTACTTAATAATAATAGTTCAGGTCATACCTAAATTTATTTATTTCTAAGCCTGCAGGCCTATGCTCATTTGTAAAGCTGGCTTAGTTTTAGTGTAGTGACCAAATGGTCCAGTGAGATAGTCTACTTGCTAATCTTCTAGCTAGGATACCATGACTCAATTCACATTTGGTGTCAGGGTTCCCAGTGACGGCTTGGTTTCATCCAGTACTGATTAAAGGCTCCTGTTAGTACTACCTTAACAAGAGGGACCTTTCTTGAGTAGCTCACTCTGTACTTCCACTATTTTTATAAGGAATCACAGTCAACTTACATAGCTCTCAAACTTTTCTGTCTGATCTCATTTACCTCTGCATTCTTCCCAGAGGCCTGTGAAGAATTGTCTTTCTCATAATTTTAATTTACCTTTATCTCTTGGTCAATGGAAATGGAAGTGTTTATGTGCAGAACCAATGCTTCAAAATCTAATTAAAATAGCTAAAATATAACACAGCTGAAAAAAAAAATCTTTGAATAACAAGAAAAGCAGAGTCTTACCCCTTAGGAAGAGAAGAGGCATCATTTAGAAGGGTCATGGCTGCCTGTACCATGGCTATGGGGGTAGCCACATAGCCAGCCTCTGCAGAAAATAGTTAATTAAGAGAAAGTACTCATGAAGTATGCATTCAACAACATCCGAAACTCAAATGGTAGATTTTATATTTAACTCAATGTTTACAAAATTTTCTGAACATTCTGTTCACTTCTTAACAAAAAAAATAATTAAATATTCAAGACTTGTAGTAAATGCTTTAAATCATTAAATTCATTTAATTCTCCTAAAAATGATATGATGTTAGTATTATTTTCACCCCTATTTTACAGATGAGGAAACTGAGACACAAAGAAGTGAAGTGACTTGTCCAGCTGAGCCACAATGACATTCAGGCAGCAGGCTCAAGGTCACTCCTACCCATAAAACGTGCTCCTCCTCCACCACAACTGAACACAAGGGTTCCAGGTCTCCTGTTTCTCCATGAATAACCTTCACTTTAAAAAGACTCAGTATCTTACACAGAAACAACTGAGAAAAGAAGTCCAACTTTAAGAACTTGTTAAATTCAAAACAAGTCTATAAAGAAGTAGACCATTAATATTTTTGTCAAATGATGGTCACTTATCTTAAAAAGTCAGGTGGGAATTTGAAAACAAAGGAAGATGCAAAGATATTTTTACTATGTGGCTTGATTAAAACTGCAAAACAGTGGTTCTGTGCTCTATCAGAATGATGGTCTTTATTAATCTTATACAGTAATGCACAAGAGGGACAGTTTCTGTTCTGTATAGTTCTCTGAAATTTACAGCCAATAGTTCTTGAACTTTTTTGGGTGGCAGAAATTTTTTTTAACATCTATCAAAAGTTGTTTTACCTTCCTTAGAAAAACGAACATGTGCACACACATTTTACAATGTCAGGGTATTTATAGATTCCTAAGTAACACTGAACCACAGCACAGTTTTGATTGATGTTATAATTACTCTGCTCTAGGGCCTCTCCGGGTGGCACAGGCGGTTGAGCACCGCATTGTGAAGCTGTCCGCAGCCTTTGCAGCACCGGTTCGATTCCGGCTGGCCAACAAGGGTTCCCACATGGCGCGGCAGACCTCTCCTGTCACGCAGACCTCTCCTGTCACACCTGCTGCTCCCCTCAGCAGTGTATTTCGTCAGTCTGCCTGTTCTGTTCCCCACTCTGTCTCTGGTGAATCCTCTCACTCCCCGCACCTCTGACCTATACCCCAGTTCTTGTATGCATAAATAAATCTTAAAAAAAAATAATTACTCTGCTCTAAAGAGGTCCTTGAATATGAGAAAAAACATAATCACCAACCAGCCCCTTTTCTTAATAATATTAAAATTTGTCATTCAGAATTACTGAATCACACTGAGAAAGAAAACCAGAAGAATTTATTGGATTGTATGAATTATTTATTTATTTATTTATTTATTAAGATTTATTTTTATTTATTTAAACAAGCATTGGGTACAGTCAGAAGCGCGGGCGGGTGAGAGAATTCACCAGAGCCAGAGCGGGGAGCAGAACAGGCAGAAGGACCGAAGTACACTGCTGAGGGGAGCAGCGGGCAGCAGGAGAGGTCTGCGCGCCATGTGGGACCCTCCTCCGGTGGCCGGGGAACAGTGGGAATTGAAACGGCGCTGCAGAGGCTGCGGGCAGCTTCGCAACCCAGCGCTCAACCGCTGCGCCACCGGGGAGGCCCTGTATCTTAATTTTAAACCTTCCAGTTGACAGAATCAATTTAACATTATCTATGTAGTAATTTAAAATGATTCTGTCAAAGGAAGGATTTAAATTATTGATACAGGGCCTCCCCGGTGGCGCAGCGGTTGAGCGCTGGGTTGCGAAGCTGCCCGCAGCCACTGCAGCACTGGTTCGATCTTCGGCTGCTCCCCGGCCACTGAAGGAGGGTCCCACATGGCGCGCAGACCTCTCCTGCCGCCCCCTGCTCCCCCCAGCAGTGCACTTCTGTCCTTCTGCCTGCTCTGCTCCCCGCTCTGGCTCTGGTGAATTCTCTCACCCTCCCGCACTTCTGACTGTACCCAGTGCTTGTATGTATGTATGTATCAATCAATCAATCAATCAATCAATCTTTAAATAAATAAATAAATAAAAAGAAGACAAGGGGGCCTCCCCTGGTGGCGCAGTGGTTGAGTGCTGGGTTGTGAGGCTGCCCACAGCCTTTGCAGTGCCGGTTCAATCCCTGGCTGCCGGGAGGGTCCCACATGGTGCAACAGACCTCTCCTGCTGCACACGCTGCTCCCTTCAGCAGTGTATTTTGTCGGTCTGTTCCCCACTCTGGCTCTGGTGAATCCTCTCACCCTCCTGCACTTCTGACTATACCCAGAGCTTGTATAAATAAATAAATAAATCTTCAAAAAAAAATAAAAATAAAAATAAAAAGAAGACAGGGCCGGGCCTCCCCTGGTGGCGCAGCAGTTGAGCGCTGGGCTGCGAGGCTGCCCGCTGCCTCTGCAGTGCCGGTTCGATCCCTGCCGCCAGCAAGGGTCCACATGGCGCGACAGACCTCTCCTACTGCACCTGCTGATCCCCTCAGCAGTGTATTTCGTCAGTCTGCCTGTTCTGTTCCCCACTCTGGCTCTGGTGAATTCTCTCACCCTCCCGCGCTTTTGACTGTACCCAGTGCTTGTATATATAAATAAATAAATCTTAAAAATAAAATAAAAAGATGACAGTGTGATGTAAGGCATATAACCATGTAAGACAATGTTAAGACAATGTAAAGCTCTCATTCTTAAGTGATATGTGAAATACCTGGTCCTTTCACCTGAGTACAAATTTTGATATTTGGTTTGCTCTTATCGGCACCAAAACCTTGGTTGTATCCTTGACCAAAGAATGTCATTGTAAATGATGAGGCATCCATCTGAGAAGAAGAAAGCAAAGGGCTTTTTTAAATAAAGATGTCATTTCCTCCCTGAATACAATAAAACCTACTTCATGAGACATTTGCAATAGATAAAACACACCTAACAGAATAACTGGTTATCTTTTAAGCATGGGTTGAAAATTTAATTCTTTGAAAAATGCAAGTTTTAATGACTGGTGCGAAGCTGAGAGTAGAAGGCTGTGAGGAAAAGGGATGAGATAAAGATGATTCTTAGGTTGGGGCTTAAGGAAAGACAGCACCATTAAAACAGGCAGTTTCAAAGGAAAAACTGGAGGTAGATTTCAATTTGGAGCGGTGGTGGTAGAATATGATAATCTTGTTTTAGATATCTGATTAAGGTGAGAAAAAAAAATAGCCAGCAAGTAATGGAAAAATGTGGGGCACAGATATATAATCACTCCACTTAGCGATGGAAAAATTGACTAAAAAATTAAATTCTAGAAGACTTATCCAAGTATCTTATACAATTACTAAATTCTGAAATAAGGTAACAGAATTCAGACATGCTCAACCCATTTTTATAAAGTATCAACTAAGGATCAGATACTATATTAGGTTTTGAGACATAAATAAAATATGGCCCCTGTCTTTCTTGAAGGTGAAAGTTTAGTGGAGGATATATATATATAAACAGATCTAGAAACACTATGAGACATAAGTTCAAAAGATGCAGGACTAGTTCAGAATAGGGCATTATTAAATCCACTGAGAGCAGAGGGCAGGGATTTGAAATATGTACACACATACATCCTCAGAAAAGCTTATTACACAGAAAAGTAGGGTGGGTACCAAAAAGGAAAAACATTATTTAACGGCAAGAAGGGATGTGGTAGCATGGTTGGTCACAATCTAACAGGCTAGAACATAAAAGAAGAATGGGGTTATACTAAGACATCAGAAGTGCAGACTAGTTCAGACACACATTCCAGGACTTGTCTACCCTGTGTGAGATGCATGTGCCACATGATCATAATACTCTTGGACTAGGCAAACCTTTAGCATTAGAACAATTTTCAACAGTTTCTAGGCTGCTACTACCAATTAGTGAGAGTTACCATGAAAAATGAAGCCTATCTACCATTTCAGAATAGATCACAAAGGGCCCGGGATGACGTCACAGCTCCAGAGATAAACTTCCAGACAGTGGTACTCTCTAGGTATAAACCAAAATTGCCCTACCTGACTTGAAACCTTAGTGATTCAGGCTGCACATCAGCCTTACTTGGGAGCCTTTAAAAAGCCCAATGCGTTGTCCACATTCCAGATGAACCAAAAACCCACATCTCTGGTGATCAGTTTGGATCTCATCTGAAGTTTAAAACCATTATGCTATGCTTCCAGTCTACTTCAAACCTACTGAATCAAAATGTTGAGATATAGGGTCAGACATGTATATGAAAAAAGCTCCCTGAGTGATTTAAATCCAGGTTAAGAATCACTGCCAAAGTAGTAAGTGAGGGAACATTTTTAAAGAAGGTGATGACAATGTCAGATTTGCGTTTAAGATCTCTTGAACAGGGCCTCCCTGGCGCAGGCGGTTGAGCACAGTGCTTTGAAGCTGTCCACAGCCTCTGCAGCGTGGGTTTGATCCCGGCTGGCTGCAGAGACACCCACAGGGTGCAGCAGACCTCTTCTGTCTCGCCTGCTGCTCCCCTCAGCAGTGTATTTCAGTCAGTCTGCCTGTTCTGTTCCCCACTTTGTCTCAGGTGAATCCTCTCACTTTCCCGCTCATCTGGCCTATACCCTGTTCTTGTATAAATAAAAATGCAACTCAAAGTAACAATGAAATGCATACTTCGTACTTATTAGAATGACTACTTAAAAAAAAAAACAGTAAATAACAAGTGTTGGCAAGGATGTGGAAACCTTGGCACCTTTAAAAAACAAACAAACAAACAAACAAACAACTAGCAACAATAAATGTTGGCTAGGATGTGGAGAAAAAGGAATTCCCCCACACTGCTGGTGGGAATGTAAGCTGGTCCAACCACTACGGAAAGCTGTGTGGAGGTTCCTCAAACTACTAAAAACGGAGTTACCATATGACCCAGCATTTCTACTCCCAGGAATCGACCCAAAAACATTAATTCAAAAGGATACCTGCACCCCTATGTTTCTTGCAGCACTATTTATAACAGGTAAGATAGGAAAACAACCCAAATGCCCAAAAATAGATGGCTGGATCAAGAAGACATGGTATATATACACAATGGAATACTAATCAGAGATCAAAAAAGATAAACTCATGCCATTCACAGAAACATGGAGACAGAAGGGATTATGCTCAGTGAAATAAGCCAGAGGGAAAAAGAAAAATACCAGATGGTTTCACTTATAGGAGGAATATAGGGGAAACAAATAAGGGATCAGGAAAAAATAACAACAACAATAAATAAAAAAAGCAAAACTGACAGGCAACTATAAATCAGAGACATTCTGTACAGGAGGGAAAGAGAGAGGGATCAAAACAGGGGTGGGAAAAAACAATGGACTATGGTAATGGTGCACCACTGAACTGGCATTGGGAATTTTACGGGGACTACAGCTAAGAGAAGAAAGCAAACATTGTACAAAAATGAAAAATGATGTAAAATATATAAAACTAAACAAATTATAAAAAAATAAGCCAGTCACAGAAATACAAATATCTTATGATTACAGTGATATGGAGGTAATTTAAAATGGTGGTTGCCAGGGGCTAGGAGGTGAGGGAAAGGAGTTATTATTTTACTGGTAGAGTTTCACATTTTCAAGATATTAAGAATTGTGGAAATGGATGGTGGTGATGGTTGTCTAACAATATGAATGTAGAATCTGATACCATTGAGAACTGAAAAATTGTTAAAATGATAAATCACATGTTATGTGTATTTTAACACAGGAAAGGGAGAGACAAAGGAGAGAACGGAAGAAAAAGGGGAGAAGAGATGGGAGAAGGGAAAAAGAGAGAGAGAAAGAGAGGAAGAGTGTCTGAACCAAAGTAGTTTTGATGAGTTTGGAGAAAAACGTAAAATTATGCCTATGTTTATGACTTGGCAGATGATACTGTCACCAAGTGAGATGAGAAATACAGAATAAGAAGATCTGGGGGTAAATAAATTCATATTCTGACATGTTGAAGTAGCTAAGGATACTCAAGTCAGAATGTCTAGTAAATAGTCGTCCTTGTAAATCTGGCGATCTAAGTGTGCCAGTTAAAAACACTTCTGAGATGACATAAGGAGAAACAGCTAGAAGTGGGCCAGGGATGGAGCCCTGGCTATCACCGGCTTTTAAGGAATAAAAAGAAGTGACAACAGAGTAAAGGGGGAAAAGGAACAGAGAGGAACTTGAAGAGCAACCATGGGAAGCAAATATTTCAAGGACAATAATGTCGAAAATAATAAACAAAGCATTTAATGTACTTAGCCTTTATAAGCCAATGCCAACTTTAGCAAGGGAACATGCAGAGTGAAGGAAGAAGAGAGGACTCTTTTTAGGTTGAAAAAAACACTAGCATGTTTACAGCATGAGGAGAAAGAGCCTGTAAAGGCAAGAGGCAGAATTTACAGGAGCGATAAGGAATAATCCGACAACAAAGTCAGGAGGGAATCTAATCAAAAGTAGCAACTGTTGAGGATATAAGACAGATGGTAATTCAATTTATCTACCATAGGAATCCTAGGGATGTGAGTAAGAAGTGGGAGAGGAGGTTAGGGCAGAAGAGAGGAGGCTGAAAAAAAAGGAAGCAAAAAATGAAGAGTAAATATATTTGATATCTCTATGAAGTAAAGCAAATAGTTCTAAAACCAAATGGTAAGTCCGATTTGGTCATTTACTTGCTGCAGGACCTTAGGCATATTTTTTGTGTCTGTTTCCTCATTTGTAAAATGCAGAAACTACTTACCTCAGAAGGTGTTTGAAAAGATTAAGCAATCAAATTTAAGTAAAGAATGGTAAGACTATCTGAAGGCAAAGATAAACAGCTGGGACTACATCAAATTAAAGAGCTTCTGCACAGCAAAAGAGACAATAACCAAAACAAAGAGAAACCCCACCGGCTGGGAGAAAATTTCTGCACCCAACACTAATGATAAAGGACTGATCACAAAAATCTACAAAGAGCTGATGAGACTCAACAACAACAAAGAAAATAATCCAGTCCAAAAATGGGCAGAAGAGCTAAAAAGAAACTTCTCCAAAGAGGAAATACAAATGGCCAACAGGCATATGAAAAAATGTTCAACATCACTTGCAATCAGGGAAATGCAAATCAAAACTACAATGAGATACCATCTCACACCAGTGAGAATGGCACATATTAAAAAAACTAGCAACAACAAATGTTGGCGAGGGTGTGGAGAAAAAGGAACTCTCCTGCACTGCTGGTGGGAGTGCAAACTGGTCCAACCACTATGGAAAACTGTGTGGAGATTCCTCAACCTACTAAAGATAGAGCTCCCATATGATCCAGCAATTCCACTCCTAGGTATTTACCCAAAGGACACAGAAACATCAATTCCAAAGAGCACCTGCACCCCTATGTTTATAGCAGCACTATTTACAATAGCTAAGCTTTGGAAACAACCCAAATGCCCAAAAATAGATGACTGGATCAAGAAGATGTGGTACATATACACCATGGAATATTACTCAGCATTCAAAAAAGATAAACACATGCAATTTGCAGCAACATGGATGGCGCTGGAAGGGATCATGCTCAGTGAAATAAGCCAGAAAGAAAAAGAAAAATACCGGATGGTCTCACTTATAACAGGAATCTAGAAAACCTAAATAAGGGACCAGGAAAAAGAATAACTATAAGAAAGAAAAAATCAAAATCAACAAACAACTATGAACCAGAGACACACTATGGGGGATGGGGGGCAGGGAAAGGAGGGATTGGGGTCAAAATAAGGGGGTTGTAATTGTATGGGGAATATAAAAATAAAATTAAAAAAAAATTTTAATTCAAAAAAAAAAAAAAAGAATGTAAGATTATCTGAAACCTAGTGCCCCATCAAGTGTTAGCTATTATTGTAACTGCACTGAGAGAAGTAAAAGAAAAATAAAAGAAAAATATTATTTCAAAGGCCTAGATACAAAATAGAGTTACCTGTTTTTGTGTTGGACCTTGTTTTGAAAAATAACCAAATGAGAAGAGCCGTGGGAACTAAAGGGGAAAGAAAAAACTCCTTAGTGGTGTCTTTAAACACTCATGAAAAATACTTCTAAAGATCTAGTTTCATAAAAACAATACTTACTTTTATGAGAAGTTGCCTTCCAATGCCAAACCTCGCAAAGAATAAAAAGAAAAGTCCTGCAAACATCAGCTTAATTACAGAGGTGATGCCTCCCACAGTTAAATAAGCAGCATACTGAACCTAGATGAAGGAGATAAAATCAGAATGTTACTCCCTTTTTTTTTAGATTAATATCAGAAAGTTAGTTAATTAAAATTTACTCTGTAGTCATAAATATCAAACAAAAGGCTTCCACTTTATGAATGTGTTATGTTCTGAAAGCCCATTTACAAAGGAGACATTGGGGTCATATTTTAAAGAAAATTATTAGTCCACAATAATATACCTGAGGTTTAACAGTTATAAATCACAGAATATGATGTAACATAAGATGTAAACATCTTATCTTTTAACTTAAGATCGCAAGCTGCCTGTTCAAATCTCAGCAATGACAGCAATTATTTCAGAAGAGAAAGGATGGTACTCCAGAAATAGCCAGGAGGAAAAAGAGAGGATTCCCAGACATCTTCACAAGCATTAGAAAGAATATTCCAACAGCTGAAACGCTAAACAGGGACTGTTGGGTGCTTCAGACATTGGGATTTCCTAAGCTGAATTATTAACACTGTGTTACATTAAAAAAGTATTCAGCAAGACAGGTTTGAATTACGGGGAGAAGTTATTGCCACTCATAAAATGCAAGATGCCTTATGTTATTAATTCTGTGTACTTCCAGAAATGGAAACAGTTACTACTTTATACCTATATTTTCTTTTTTTTTCTTTTTTTTCTTTATAAACATAGAAAACCTACATTAGACAGAGAGAGGACCTCTAACAAAGACTGTTCTCCATTAAAACAAAAATCATAAATACTTACAGGTGATTCCTCTGAATTTTCATGTAAGTAACGCTGAGTTCGCTTCACAACAGACACATCCGCTCCCAAAAAAGGAATGGAGTAACTGTTGAGTTCTCTGCAGTAAGAAATTAGCCACCTGCAAGACAGCCCCATGAATATGTTGCATTTTCTCCATTTACAGTGACTGTATATTTAGCTAGTACATTTCTGAATAAAATTTTTAACTTTTCTTGGGTCGGTAACAATAATGAAGATGGTAGATGTGCTCTTAAAATTTATTTGTCTTTTATTCTCTACACCTTTTCTCCAACAAGTGACAAGTAGAAAAGTGTAGTACTCTTCATAACATGAATATTTAACTTATGTAGTCTAGTTATGTTTTACCCCATTGATTTCCTAGACAATGATAGAAAGTACATTCATTTCAATAGCCAAACTGTTTAGAGTTCTCACATAAATGCTATTAACAAATTCATCTACATAAAATCATCACATGAAGATGGTGGTTTCACCACATGAAATTTGATTGACATTTAATTTTGATATTGACAGTAAAATTTACTTTTTCTCAGATTTCAAATGTGTAATTATATATGAAGTACTTAAGCTTAGGTGCCAAGTGTATTTCATTGATGTTTGCAAACAATGCTGAACCTACTTTTAAAAAGTCTCCAGGCTTTTATTAGTAGTATATTTTATTAATAATCAGTTCAACAACAATATACTTAGGGTAGATATACTGAAAAATGGATTTTAAGTTAACATACCTTCTTTTCAATTTTGGACCAATGATAGGAACAGGTTTCAGATTTGACTTTTTTCGTAGTTTTTTCAAATTACTCTGGTCTCCAAAGCCATAAACTGCTGACTTCCAGGTACTATCATGAATACACAAACCCTAATAAAATATTTCTAGAGTTAATGAAACATGTCTCACATGACAATTATTACAATGTAAAACCAAGTCACTTACAATTGTCACAAAGAGCAGTTCTCTTCTAAGTAAGCAAGGTATACTCCCTACTTAATGATCTTGAGTTCGGTTTTCACAAACTTACATCTTCAAAAACCCTAGGCAGCAATAACACATTACCTTTGTCATATTCAATATTTATACTGACATATGCCCTTTCTTTTTCCCTCCGAACATTATCTTAGACTTTTTAATGAGTCACTGAGTTTCACTTCATTTTCATTCAGCTAACTGACCGCATTCCTTCAAATTAAACTCTCTTGTTATACAACATAGGTGTTAATGCCTCACAATTTAAGTTACATTCATATCTCTTATGATATGTTCAAATTTATGCATAGACAGCATACTGTCCCTCTATCCCTTCCTTGTTGTATTCAGTGCCCTATCTGCTTCCAATATCCTGTTTCTAACCCAAAGTTATTAACAGTCTTCCATGAAAGAATTGTTAAAATCATTTTTAAGAAACTTTTTAATTAATTTGATTTATAGTTTTTTTTCTCAATTCTGAAATTTCTTTCTGGTACTGAACTCAACATAGAATGGACTCCATGTTAGATTTTATTCCTACTTTCATCTGTCTACTTCTTTTTCATCTCTTTCATGAGACTCTTAGCCCTCAGTCATTTCCATACTTTCAATATAATTAAACCTTCCACAACCCTTACCTCTAAATCCAATTAAAAATGAGTGGCAAGAAAAAGAGCATAATCTCAGAATGTTTTTAGTATGTATCCTTTTTTCACCTAACTTCTATCACACAAATATTTTAATTATTTATTACATAAATATTTTGAACTTCATTTATAATTTTGATTGTAAACAATTGTTAGGACTTCTTATATGTTATTTACCTTATTTGAATGAACAATATCATTTAGAATTATTCAAAACCAACTTTATCACAAGACTTTGAAAAAGAAGTATCAGTAAAGCAGATGTGAATATAATTATTAGTAAGTAAAATAAAAGAAACAATAAAATCAACAGAAAAGTCAGGTTTTTATATCATAGTTTTGATGACCATTTTAAGGCAGAGAGACAAACCTAAATTCCATTTTAGTACATATTAATTTTTGCTGTTTTGTTAAAACTGAAACAAAGCTAAAGGTCACAGGGTTCAATTTTTGAAAACTACTCTAAATATGGGCCTCACCAACTTGATCTATTTGTAAGATTTCCAAAGACCAGAAAACAGCCTTTTAAAAACTTAAGATTATCTTCTTACACAAATAAGCCACGAAAAAAGCCAAAAATCACTAAAATAAAAATTAATTTCATTGAAAAGTATAACAAAAAGTACACAGAACATAAATCTACAGTTTAGTGAAATTAGGAAGCAAACATACATGTAAGCCAGAAGACTCTGTCCTGCTTTTATGGTAATCAAGAAAAATCCTAGCTTTTCTTAAGTGTTTTACCACCTAAGTTTTCAGTCCTAAACAGTATAGTGAGTTTTGCCTGTTTCTAAACTTTACAGAAATGTAATCACACAGTGTTTATTTTCCTTTGAGTTTTGCTTTCCCCCCCCACCAAATTGTCACATTAAGATTTGTCATAAAGGGCCTCCCCTGGTAGCACAGCGGTTGAGTGCTGGGCTGTGAAGCTGCCAGCAGCCTCTGCAGTGCAGGTTCAATCCCTGGCTGCCGGTGAGGGTCCCACATGGCGCGCAGACCTCTCCTGCTGCACCCGCTGCCCCCTCAGCAGTGTGTTTTGTCAGTCTGCCTATTCTGTTCCCTGCTCTGGTGAATTCTCTCACCTACCCTCGCTTCTGACTGTACCCAGTGCTTGTATAAATAAATCAATCAATCTTAAAAAAAAAAGTGTCATATATTGCAAGTAATATCTACTCTGCAGCTGGTTTCTTCATTTTTTTTTTAAAGGGTGTCTTGATAAACACTCTCAATTTTAAAAGTATGCAAATTTTCAGTTTTTGTTTATATTTAATGCTTTTTGTCTTTATAAGAAGTCACTTGACCTTGAGTCAGTGAAACAGGTCATCTTCTAAAAGTTGTACAGTTCTGCTGTTTACATTTAGGCCCATAATCCACCTAAAATTTACTTTTATACATACCGCAAAGTATAAGTCCAATTTCATTTTTTCTCTACATTGATACCATATTGTCCCATCATCATCTCCTGAGAAGCCCCTTTGTCATATATCAAATATCCTCATATGTATGAACTACTCTCTCTCTATTCTGTTCCACTGGCATATTTATATCTCTCAGCCAATGTAAACACTGACTTCATATAATAAAACTTGGTATCTGAAAGTATCTGTCTACCTTATTCTCCTTCAAGAATGTTTTGATTATTTTGATGCTTTGACTTTCCATATACATTTTTATGTCACCAAAACAAATAAAACCTGTTTGAAATCTTGATTGGAATTACATGAGATTATAAATCAATTAAAGGAAAACTAACATCTTTATAAAACTGAGTCTTCCAATCCATGAATATGGTGAATTCTACCATTTATTTGTGTTCTTCAAGGTCTCGCAATAATGTTTTAAAGTTTTCTTCGTAGCAATCTCACATGTTTTGTTATTCTTAGGTCACTATGTTTTATAAATGGTCTCTTTAAAAAAAATCATTTTCTAAGTTAAACTGGCAATGCAGCTACCTTTTATATTAATTTTATATCCATTAACAATAAAGACTTTAGTGGAAATAAATAAAATACAGAATAGGGCCTCCCTGGTGGTGCAAAGGGTTAAGATGCAACCTACAAAGCTATCTGCAGCCACTGCAGCATGAGTTCAATCCCCGGCTAGAGAGCTGCCCACATGGTGCAACAGACCTCTCCTGTCTTGCATGCTGCCCCCTCAGCAGTGTATATCAGTCAATCTGCCTGTTTTGTTCCCTACTCTGTCTCTGGTGAATCCTCTCACCCCCCACACCTCTGGCCTGTACCCCAGTTCTTGTATGCACAAATAAATAAATCTTTTAAAAAAATAAAATGCAGAATAGAAAATAGGAAAAAAAGTCAATGAAATCCAAGGTTGGTTCTTTGAAGAGATTAAACAAATTGACCAATCTTTATCTAGACCAACCAAAAAAAAAAAAAAAAAAAAGGGGGGGGGGGAGGAGAGAGAAAAACCACTTAAAAAAAAAAGTAAGAGGCATTATTACCAATCTTACAGAAACAAAAAGGAGTACAAGAGAATACTATTAACAAATGCATGCCAGCAAATTAGATACTTAAATGAAATGGAGAAATTCCTAGAAAGATACTATAATGGATTTAGTTGTAAATAAATAAATCAATAAATCAACCCTCCCTCCACAATTTATACCCTGAAGTTCTAATTGCTAGTACCCCAGAACATGATCTTATCAGAATAGGTTGCTGAAGATGTAATCTGTTACTATGTTACTGGATTAGGTAGGCCCCAACCCAAAATGATTGGTATTCTTATAAAAAGGAAAAATGTAGACATAGACACAAACATATGCCACATAAAGATGAAGGCTGAGATCTGAATGATGTATTTACAATCGAAGGAGTGCCAAAGATTGCCAACAAACCATCAAAATCTAGGGGGAAAGCGTGGAACAGATTCTCCCTCACAGCCTTTAGAAAAACAAACCCTACAAACACTTTAATCTCAGATTCTAGCCTTGAAAACAATGAATTTCTGTAGTTGAAGCAATCTAGTTTTTGGCACTTTGTTAAGGCAGTCCTAGGATACCAATAAAGACAAACTGTATTAGTGTATACAGACAAACCAAGACTGACTCACAGAAAAAAATAAATCTAATAGATTTACAAATCTATTAGAAATAAAGACAGTAAACTAGTTATCAAAAAAACTTTCCACAAAGAAAATTCCAGATCCAGATGACTTCACTGATGAATTTGACCAAACATTTAAAGAATTAACCAATTCTTTACAAACCCTTCCTCAAAAGTATTATTACCATAATACCAAAACTAGACAAAGACATTTTATCTAAAGCAAGATACATATTCAACAATCCCTATTAAGATCCTAATGGCATTCTTCATAGAAACAGAACAAAAATACCTAAAAATGTATATGGAATCACAAAAGACTTCAAATAGCCAAGAATAATGGCAGTATAATGCTCATGAACTTTAAACTACAATATGAAGGCACAGTAATCAAAACAGTATGGTACTGGAATAAAAACAGACAGAGATAGATGGAATAGAATCAAAAGCTCAGAAGTAAAACCACAAATATATGGGTAACAAATTTATGATAAAGGAACCAGGAACATACAATGGAGAAAGAAAAGTCTCTTCAATAAATGATGCTGGAGGGCCTCCCTGGTGGCACAGCGGGCTGAGCACAGTGCTGTGAAGCTGTCCGCAGCCTCTGCAGTGCTGGTTCGATTCCTGGTTGGCCAGGGAGATTCCCACACGGTGTGGCAGCCCTCTCTCCTGTCTCGCCCGCTATTCCCCTCAGTAGTGTATTTCGGTCCTTCTGCCTGTCTGCTCCCTTCTCTGTCTCTGGTGAATTCTCTTACCCTTCCATGCCTCTGGTCTGTACCCCAGTGCTTGTAGAAATAAATAAATCTTAAAAAAATAAACAAATAAATGATGCTGGGAAACTGGACAGCCACATACAAAAGAATGAAACTAGGTCACTATCTTAAATCATATGCTAAAATCAATTCAAAATGGATTAGAGACTTGAAAATAAGACCTGAAACCACAAAATATATATAAGAAAACATAGGTATAGTTCTTTGACATCAGTCTTAGTGATGTGGATCTCTGTGGATTCATCTCTAACATTAAGACAAACAAAAAAGAATATAAACATATGGGGCCACATCAAAATAAAAAACTTCTACACATTGGGGGGCGGAGCAACATGGCGGTGAGGAGACGCTGCGAGTAAGATCTCCCATTAAAAAAAGTTAATAGGGAGGAAAAGCGGCAGGTCCCA